CTTTGTTTCAGGCGGGAATGTGCAGATTTCAGATAAAAAGATTTTAATATTTAAAGGTGAAATGATCATGAAGTGATCTGATTTTTATGCACCAAAGAGAGTTGTTTAATATGATGTCAAAATCATCAGGAGTTGTCATACAGTGAGGTGATTTATTGACTTTTGATTTTTTAGATATTGGCATACTAATTGATAAATTAATTAACGACAGGTGATTGAGCTTCAGATGAAGAAGTCTGGCTTTAAGATGTTGTCAGGACAGTACGTCTTCCTTAAGTGTCCAGCTCTTTCCCACATCCAGTGGCATCCGTTCACTCTCACTTCGGTAAGACATCACAACTTCATTCAATATTACGCTGTTATGAAATTCACATAAAATGTCAGCATTCATTGGAATGATGTGCTGTGTGATGCATACCCAAGTAGCTTCCTTATTAATCTGGTCAATGAAAGAATTAAGACAACTTCCTCCAGTTACATCGGTACTCAGGTATTTCCTGACCGTTTCATTCAATTGTTTTACCTGTTGATGCCATGCTAGGCCCCTGAAGATGATTTCTTCAGTATTCACATCCGTACCGTGGGTGATTGGACCACAGGCCTAGCTAAGGTGATGGGTGCAGATAACGACACTCCTATTGAGTCTAACCAACTTGCTAGGGTCGCTGTGGATGGACCCTTTGGCACAGCCAGTCTTGATGTCTTCAAATACCAGGCTGCTGTGTGTGTAGGTGCAGGCATTGGGGTGACTCCATTTGCATCCATTCTTCGTTCAATCTGGTAAGCTGTGAGCCAGGGTTATATTGTTATGAAATGTTGAGGAAATACTGCTCTTCCCCTTCAAAAGAGAAAATATCTCAGATGTGTCTTGCTGTTTCTGGCTCAGGATGGTAGAAGATATAACCTCTTAAAGTCATCCAATTCCTGTAGCTTTTGTTTCATTTCTGTCAAGGGATTGGGTAGTGTTTAGTTCTCCCCTTGTGGGACTCCCATCAGTTTGCAGAGGATCAAATCTGAATCCTATCTCCATTTAGAAACACAAGTTGCTTTGCGTAATTTTCAGAAATTTCATTCTCATCATATTTGTGTTTATTCGAGTAATATAAAGCTTCATTTCTTCAGTGATCCTTGTAGACATAAAATATTACCAAGCGCTCCCTAAGTTCAATTGAACTTAAATTCATGCATTAATAAACTTTTCTTTTACTTAAATTTGTAATCATGAAGTACTCATTTGTAGCAGTGACAGTTATGGACATGTTTTCTCTGCAGGCATCAGAGTATGGATCCAAACCTTGACCTCAAGTTGAAGAAAGTCTATTTTTTCTGGATCTGTCCTGACACCAATGCCTTTGAGTGGTTCTCTGAGATGCTAGACTCCTTGGAGAACCACATGATAGAGCAGGGCAAGGCAGATTTCCTCAAGTACAACATTTACCTGACCAGAGGTTGGAATACTAAACAGGTGAGTCTATATGACTCCTCAAAATATATGGAATTTCAAGGACAAAAGATGCTTTGAAATTTAATTGATAGAAATTAGTTACATAGATTGTGTTGATATTCTGCTTGAAATACTGTTCCAGTCAGAGGCGTTGGCTATGTCCTTTTTTTCTTGTTTCACAGGCCAAGAATATCTATCTTCAGGAAGAGGAGGAAGTGGACGCTATCACCGGCTTGAAACAGAAGACCAACTATGGCCGACCCAAGTGGGATGACATCTTCAAAATGATCGCTGAAGAGAATCCAGGGTGAGCAGCTAGATCTTACTGGTTTGATTTTTTATTTACTGTTTATGAAAAAATCTGTCCGTTTCTCTGTTTTTAATGCATTTTCCCTTAGTTTCTGTTTCTTATTGCAAGATCTGGGAGCTTGTAATGAAATTTGAATATTCTTCTAATTTTTCTTGGCTCAGCACCAGCGTTGGTGTCTTCTTCTGTGGGCCTAAGGTCCTCTCTCAAGTTCTCCACAAGTGCTCCAACAAGCATTCCAACATCAAAGGAGGAGCCAGATTCTTTTACAACAAGGAAAATTTCTAAGCTAATGATGTTGAGTCAACCTGTCATCGCAATAAATACTGTTCTCACTTTTGATTTGTTAAGACATAATAACAAGAATACTGTTTACCCAAAAGAGGTTAGAAAGAATTATCCCAGTTGTGCTGTTTGTAATACCATAGACCTATGGAGGAATTTGGGTGAATAGTTTTGCAAACGATCGTGGAGATGCTTTGTGTGGTAAATTTAATTCCGTTAATTCTGGATGTAATTGTGCATTATAGAACAGTCTGTGGGATTTCAGCGCTGGTCAAAATGCGTGGTGCAAAATTGGTGCTTGGTGCAAAATGCTTCAAGTGAAATGAGTGAAGGATTTTAAATTGTAGTCATGAGTAGGTCTCGGCCAATGTGGACAGGAAGTCGGTATCTAGCCATGTGAATTTTGTTGAGTCAGATAATAGACTGTTTACCAATCAGAATTGGCTTATTAATAATGATAAATTGTGGCTTTTTTAAACGTTGTCTTGTGTAGTTTGAACACTTAATTAATTTGAGGAAATTAATTTAAATATTTGTATTTGTGCACCTTGTATTGGTTTGTGCTGAACTTGTGCAAATTGAATTTGAATTTTTAAGCATAAGAGCAATTTTATTTTAAGTACCCACTATTTTTGTAACACCTTTTTTTCTGTCGATTGATATCTGCAGATGGAATTTGTGAATCCAGTTGGAATGAATTTAATGACCACAGTAATTTTACGCTAATGGTGTTGATAAGGTGTAAATTTAATCTTTCATACTGATTCGGCTTTTTGCACTGTCATTTCCATATTATCCTATAAAATTCTTTTTTAATGTCACCATTTTTAAACATCAATATTTTCATAAGAAACTCAAAACAACACTTGCAAATAGGAACAGGTTTAGTAAAAGCGTTTATTTTGGAAACCTATTTTTACTTTGTCGTTTATGATATGTAGTGAGTGCCAACGGAATATTAAGAAATAAAAGCACTCATTTGAAATTGCAAATAAAATATTGAAACTTGAGTACAGGATTATCGCCTCTGAACACAATTCAACAATATCGTTAAAGATCGTCGTTTGGTTGCTTTCTAGTGATTAGACCTAAACGATAGAGAAAACACCTCTTTCTTGACAAAATACCAAACGTGAGTTTCAAAATATTCAGTACCCGGGTTTCACCGTAGTTTTATTGGTTTGAAATGTTTCAAATACTTTGTGTTCTTTTGCATACTTCGACTTCGGGTTGAAACGTCCACTATGTAAATTCTTTTCTCTTAATATCTGAAGCCTGCAAAATTTGCTTGTTTACTCTCTTTGATTACACCTACGTGTCTGTGACCAATTATAAGCTGATTGATTGAAAACAGGTGAGCAGACGACGAATGAGACGCCTTGTGACTGGTCAGAAGTTGTCCGTTACTATTTTTAGGCCCTTGGAATCATGCTGTCGATCGAGCGCCCTCTCTCGAGCTGTTTCTCCATCTTGATGAGTAAATCGACGCCGTCGATTACCCGCTGGCAAAGTTGGACCTAAGAAATCGACAAAGTGTCACCGAAATGCAAAGGTAGGAACTGACTAGCTCTGTACTTTCTTGTTTGTTTGTAAAACAGAAGAATTAGTTTCAATTTTATGCATGGTTTTGGTGGTTTATGTGGTTTTATTAAAGACTGTAAAGGGAAGATCCAAAGTTAACCGTCGTGAGATAAAAGTCAACATGGCCGCTGTCATTGTTTTGGTTTAGTATCCTCGCTGTGTGAGCGATGAAAATTGTCTGGAATGTTTGCGGGTTCCCAGTTCGTCCTTATAATTCTCCTGATGTCTAATTCAGGCCCTTTATGAATCACAGTAAAAGTGTTCTTGAATTAAAGGTTACTGCAGGTCTATTTCTCTTCTATTTCACGAGTCTTCACTGTCACCAAATGGAGAAAGCCCGTTTTAGTGAGGTACGAGACGCAAAAATGTGACGAATGTGCATGTCTGTGTGATGTACTCATAGTCACACACCTGTTGGGCCGAGGCCTATTGTTAGCATGCTTGTTGTCATTCCATTGATATACCCACTGGAGGTTTTGTCTGCCGGTGGCAGGCTCGCCCACTGGTGTCTCATCACGATAAGTTTACTAACCTCAGATTGCCCAAGTCTGTCCAGGTTGGAGATGTCAAACACTCCACCAACAGAGGCAGTGTCCACACCCCCAGTTCCTCTTTTCTGTAGTCGCAAACGCTCCAGGATTGTGTCAAAGCGTGAGTCCTGTGGATGGAATACAATCGGCAATCGTTTTTTATGCTGAAGAATTAATTCCTGAAGGCATTGAGGTAACTCCAGGAAACCATCAGAACATTTATTTTGGAAAAGTGATACTTGTGCTGGTCAGGAATTCCTTTCTTTCACAGTTACAAGAATTGTTTTTTTTTAGTTTCAAGACTTCCATTTAGAAGAAAACAACACATCATATTATTTGTTCTGTATATATTTGACACTAATAATTGATTCGAAAAATAAAAACTGGCTGCTTTTTTGAGGGAAGGTGGGAAATGACTGCAGAAAGAGTCCTTCCTCATTTTACTAAACCATGACTTCGCGCACTGTCCATCCTGACAATTAATGCCACAGGGCCAGGTTGCTGGTAGTTGTGTGACTGTTCTTGGCAGCTGTAAGGATTTCTGTTTGCGTTTTTCATCTTGTCCATACTTTGGCAAGATTAGGCAGTTTGACATGAACACCAGCTCGCATGCCCGTTCCTAGATTGGAGGGGCAGGTCAGAACATAGCCCAGATGCTCATTCCACATGTACTCCCAGCCTTTAGTTTTGATCAGACTCTCCACCTGGAAAGAGAACGGTGAATAGTGATTTAAGAGACAAGTCGAGGCAACAATTCATCACCTGAAAATAATTTTCGTTTGAGAAAAGTTTCATGCAATTTATCTCTTAGCTGTTGACTTTTGTCGGCGATTTATTATTTGCTCTGTTTTAAAATTGAGAAGATTCATATTCAATTTAAAAAAGTCTGAAAGCATTGCGCCTTGAACAGAAGCGCTCCCTCATCGGTTGGAAAGAGCCATGCTGGTCGGGAGTGTTCATTTTGATGGTAGCGATGCGACTGCAAAGTTTGAGCTTCATAGTCGTTTGTTAACCAGCGATGTGCAGTTACCAGCACACGAGCCTCCGTTGCTGAGAAAATTGCGCCCTCTCTTGGTCCAGCTCGGGGCCCACACAGTTTCATTTGAGTAAGCGCCTGTTCTAACCTGGTTTAGACCTCGACAGAATCTGTCGAAGACGCTCTTCATATTGCCTCCCTTCTCCATGGAGATGAGCCGGGTGTGGTCCTCCTCATTCACCCAGACTAAGAAAGTCTTATCGTTGTTGTGCCTTGGTAAGGAATTGGGAGACTTGGATTAGAAGCAGGTTACACTGAGGAGGAAGAGACCAAGATGTTTTCTCAGTCACGTCTACGTTGACCATACCACATTAGGACGAGGTGGAACGGTTTGTGTAACCAACACTTCTTTTGAATGTTTGTCTGTCGATCGCGGATCAATTTCTGAGCACATTGTTGTGAGAATGACTTAGTCATGCTTGGTCCAGGCCTAAGAAGTTTACTCAAGGCGAAAGGAAAAAAACACAAACAAAAACTGAATTTCACCTACCAAGTGCAATCAACTGACATAAAATCATTCAGGTTGGGGGAGGGTCGTTTGGGTGTGCAACCAACCGACGTCCAATTCATTCATGGCGTTTAATTTGCATCCTTGTGTTACTCTGGAAACAGTCTGCATTGTTTATTTGCACGTGAAGTGCTTTCTGAACACACCACGAGTTACATAATCACATATTTGGCGTGAAGAAACAAGTGCATGCAACCGAGCCAACCGGGGCCATGCTTCACTTACAAAGATTCAGACTGTCCTTCATCAACCACTGTGCTACAGGTATGACGACGCTTCATTTCCGTGCTCTCCGTTTGTCCATTGTATTTTTTTTCTTAAATTATCTCGTCGGTTAAGTGAGACCCTGCTTATCTTTGTGAGCTAGATACGACTGTGCTCTACAGTACCACAGTTTGGCGAGTGTAGAGAGTTATCGATGTTCTTGAACAAGAAGTGTTTATTAGACTTGCTTACCTTCTAAACATTTTGTAGGCCTAATTATTGTTCTTTGAGATGTTTTACCACTTGATCAAACAGGGAAATTGTTGGGTTAACTTTATCAACATTGAGTAGTGAGTGCTCACTACCTCAACACTCAGCTCACCAGATACCACGAGCATCGGGCCAATCACGAGCCATGCCGGCACACGTGAGCAAAGGAGACACGGGCTTATCGAACAGGAAATGGTCGTCGATTAGAGTCTGCTGTTCGCTCTCCGTCATGTTGTTCAACGGGAAGTATTTGCCCTTCAAGTCACCGCTCAGGCCATCCAGAGCCTCGACTACGACCTGGAAGGTGGAACGGAACAAACGAAGAATCTTTTCAGACTTGAACAGAGGCTAGAAGTTGGAAAATTCGTCACTGTTCGTCCACATCGTTCTTGTAACAATAAGTAGCAAAAGTAAATAAAAAAAACTGAATAATTTTTTGTCCTTTTACGCTTTTCAACGTGCAGGTTTGCCCTTTAAAAAGTTTGCCCTGTCAAGAGGTCTTTTCATTATTTCCCCCTTCATATCAGCTAGGCAGTGATTTCTTCATCACTATGGTTCACCTGGTCGTACCGGCTTGCCCTACACTTCGAGTAACAAGCTCCTACCTGTTCGACCATGCGACGCTCTGCCCGCGAGCATGCCGGCGGAAGGCTCAATCCACGAATGCAGCGGCCGGTTCGTACTCGGGTCGACAGCACGTACTTGTTGTCAAAGTTACCGCCCCGGATCTTAGAGGAGTCTAAGTCGGTTGGGTGAATATCGTTGGGACTGTAACCGTTGTGTCTTTCATCGATTACTGGGTCAAACAGTTCCTTGAAGACCTGCAATATGGTGAATTTGTTTGGCACACATTGATTTGATATCCCGTATAATTTTTGAAATTAAGATGTCAGCTTAGTCAACGGGGAGATGCCAACGTAGTCAAGAGGTCGATTATATACAAACTTGATGTTTCATCATTTTTCTGTCTTTTCCATAAAGTTCTATTCTACATAACAAGAATCTTCCATTATTTTTGTTGATTTTTGACTTGTGTCGTCTCCTTTTCACGAGCTACTTACACACCTAGCACTGTTGATCAGCATTTTATACTTCAGTGTTTTACTGCTTTTTGTTGAGGTTTAACGACGAATAAAGTAAAAGTCTCCAACCTCGTAGGACTCTTCATCACCAGCCACACACCCCACTGTCTTGATGAAGGGGTGTCCCGGGTTGTCCACGCCAGTCTGTATAGCCTGGTCCAGCGTGTAGCCGTTGGGCGTCTTGCGGTTACAGAGTTTGGCGTAGATACTGGGCGTCAGGTGAGACGCCATTACGTTGTTATGGTTGCGGAGATCGGGGAAGTTGGCCGACGGGGGGAAGGTAGTCTTAACCCCCTGGCTGACGCAGGCTTGGCCTCGTTTAGTACGCATATAGCTCAGACCTGCTACTCCTGCCGAGATATTTTTTATTTTCAGTTTGATCATGAATTGTTCTTGGAAAGACCACATGCTTGGGTTTAAATTTAAATTATGAAGTTGATGCATCACTGTTTTCCTGTTTTTTTAATATCGAAAAGCAACTCTACCCATGGCAGTTAAGTAACCATGTTTATTCTTCCCAACCTCCTTATTTTCGTCTTAAGTGCGGTGCAGTCACTGATAATGACTGCAGTGCATAGGCTTAACTGATACTGATGAAACTTGGCGCAGATGATGGCGCCCTCAACTGGTACTGCACCTATTGGTTTAATGACTTTATCTTACTTACCAACGGCCACAGCTGCAGCGGCAGACAACTTGCCTCTATAGCCAACCATGCGTGGGAGCAACCGTGACGCCATGATGATTAATTGCTTGAAGGCAGATGAGACCAGAAAAAAATAACAAATTTTCTGGAAATCGGCAGGCAGTTTTCTAATGTATTTTTGTCCGTTGCACTCAAATGCAATACAGTTGTTTCCTTCTCACTTATATAAATCTCCCTTTATTTTTGTAGGACTATGATGTATGTGATAGTTATGGTTCTCAAAGTCGCCACAGTAGGCCCCATGTTACAACTGATCATAGTATAGGCTAATCCATGGATCATGTATCACTAATCGATAATATATCACAAATTGACCGATAGTGTTGAAACGGATAATGTATTACCTGTCGACGGACAACGTTTTTAGCAACAGCGTGTGGATCAGTAGGCTATGTGAAAAGGTAATTTTGTGCCATAAAAAGAATGATTGCGCGCATTCAAGTTAGCTCAATCAAGTGTCTCAAAGTCTCCACATGGAAAGGGATGGGTGTCTGGCTTGGAACAATTCTGAATGGTAGACCAGGCTCTTAAAGTTTGGACTACATGTAGGCCTACGAGAGGATTTATTGGTCCACCCAAGCTCTTAGCTGTACTGTCCGTGCTTTTTCAAATGTCGGCTTTGTTTTCCAAACGAACTTTGAGGGAACATGATGTCTTTACTCTCGACCTTGTGGTAACAGTTATACATGATACAGACGCACTCCATTATTCCGTGTACCATTTGCACTCGTATGATAACTAACAGTAACACCTTATTTACACTTCCAGACCGACAACAGTAGGTGCAACGCTCATTGTTTGATATTTCTGATTATATGAATCAACTTGCCCAAGTTCTGTTCTTAGAAATTTTCTGAGCTGAAATTAGGAGTTTTGATGCATGTTCGTTCCACACGGCGCATTCATGCAAGTTCAATTTTGTGTTGGCCTGAAATTTAACGTAAGCCTACTCAGTCAGTGTTCTGCGATGACATTGAGCCTACGGGTTTATAATTCCACTTTTCTTGGGCCTATAGCTAGGCCTGTAAATCAGCCTTGGAGACATGTTGATCGTTTTCCATCAGTAATAGATGTGTTTCAGGGATTAAGATCCGTATAGTTGAACAAAAATCTGAAGACTTACTCTGTTTCGATGGCCGCCGAAGGTAAAAAAAGGATAAAAACAGGTACGCACCAGATGCACACTGTTGTTTTTGTCGATCGAACAACAAAACAAAGATGTGGCAGTGTCACGGTAACGCGTAGCGCGTGGCTGACGCGCGCGGCCAAAATATCTTTTTGTACGCGCGCCGTCATTTTTCGATAGAGGGCGTTATTTTCACGTTCTGAATTTGAAGGAGACGCCTTCTCATGCTTTCCCCTCAGAGAAAAAGAATTTAGCGGCTAAAATTTAATTACAGTGTTTATTGCTGCGAATAATTTATGTTTACGAACTTGCCAGAATATTCTCCCTGATGAATGTACAAAGATAAAACTAGCACAAGATGCTATTAAGGGTCTTCTAGTCTACGTCGTTTGCAGCACGTTAAGTGCCTTGTTTCTTTCAAATTCTTGGGAAGAAATTAATTCTAAATATGTGGCTCTTACTTTGTGTAAAAATAACGCTTGTTTAAAATTTTCTAGTAATCTTTAGCTACGGTTTTCTGATAAATTTGAGTCCAAGAAATTCTCAAAAAAGCTAAACTACAAGTTTTTTGGTGTAAACTTCATACAGAAAGGGCTGAATTACATGGACTTGGCCTTTGCTACAACATTTTTCGAATGGAAAATGGAACTCTCATGAGTTCTTGACAGTTATTAATTCTACAATAATTTAGCTTTGCCAATATGTCAAGGAATTCATCTGAAACGAAGAATGGCTTCACAATTCTAAAACTATGATTTCGAAACTTATCTAGTTCAAAATTTCCCTCTATGTGAAAGCCTTGTCGACACCCCCAACTTCTTATTTCTCCACGACAGACACTTCAAATTTATTTGCGTAATATTATGGGCTTCAAAACAGAACTCGACATTTCTCCCATACGATTTCACGTGTGTGTGTTATATTTTAATTATGAAGCACACCTCCAGTTTCTCGTAAATCTTTGGATTTATATCTGTCGAACTTGCATGACAGTATGCTAGCTTGCTCAGTAGAGTTCCCAACCAGTGGCGAATCTAGCGGGGGTGTCATGGATTTTTTTTACGAAGAATATTTCATAAGTAAGAAAGTAATCCGTATATTTATTTCCCTATCAAATATCAGCACCAAAATCCTAAGAAAACAATACCATTAAATAAAAGCTGGGATGTTTGGACCGCGAGTAAGGCTTAATATTTTTTCTTCCCGACATCATGTTCAATAAGCCCAAAGCCATTCGCTTTTGAATTTGCCCCCCCCCCGGCTAAAAGCTGGCTACGCTGCTGTTCCCAACTGCAGTGTTTGGTTTGTTTTGTCAGTAGCCTTTTGTTTTGGAAGTTTATCGTCGTCCAAGTGTTTCCGGGACTAGCTGATGTAACAAACGGCAAATATTCATCTGAGTCATCGTGGTTGTTTAAGCTATACATTAAACTTGACACAAACTACACAAAAAGTTCCAGACTAGGACATATGACTTTAGCAAAGATGAGTTTGACGAGTTATCATCCGTTATTGATCGTTAGACTTCTGTCAATGATTAGAAATCTTGAACTTTGTGTAAGTCTCTGATCAGCCGATGTACCGGCGTTGCGCCCACTGTGTGACGGAAGAACAGTTGCTCCAGGGTGCTACCTCGTATCGCTCGCAACGACGGTAGCAGAAGAAGGAGCTTTCCAAAGCGAAAAGGTTGAGTGGGATGCCGCAGGGATATGTACTTGCTGAGAGTTAGCTGCGACTGGTCTTGAAGGTTAGCTATTGTTGACACGTCATCTAATCCAGGGGCATCTAGACAATGGAAAGGAACAACAAAGGTTGAATGAATGTGAAAAGACAGCAGTTTGTCGGGCAAACCTTTGAGGGTGGTTTACTCTGAACATACATTTGACTAAGTACCTGCTTTGAACATGAGTATTCCCTTCAGACATGCATATTCAGTAGCATCGACCTGTAGCTGATGGAGTTTAGCAATGATTTCCTGCAAGACGTGAACTTCGCTAGTAACTGCTGCAAGTTTCTCAGGTGCTGTGTTTTCAGAGTTCAAACCTGCAGAAGAAATGAGAGCAAGCTTCTTTCAAAACTTTAATCAAACATTCCATTGTTGTACCATTTGGTATGGTCTAGTGATGGATTAAACCACTTGTGTCGTTCAAAACACGTGGTAACGCCTGACGTCATGGAATTATACAAAAGGCTAGACTTCTTACCAGCAGCACTGATGAGTGCTTGAATGTCAACGGAAAGCTGCCACTGGGCAGCTCCAAGGATGAAAAGTTCCCGCCATCCGTCTTCAAGTAACACAAGCTGTATGGGAAAATTGGAGAACTTTCTCAAACAGATAAAAATGAGAGCATGTAACATGGATTTACTGAAAGAGCGCCCCCTCTTTCCCTACAATGCCGTAACCACCTGCCTCTTTTATACCCGGTACATGAAGGTAACAATTCAATCATTTTAACGTCTTGTCTCTCTGTCATTTGGCATATGTTTGTATTTCACTATTATCAATCATTTTTAAAACTTTGTAATGCTTATATTAATGAACCAGGACAAATCAATTTCTCAGCCGAAGTTTTCAGGATGGCATTCTACATTTCTATATACCGTGCAGTGCCTCATTTATTTTCCCTTGTCCCACTTTAGCCCCCTGACTCTCTTTACCTGTTCTCGTTCTGGAAGGCTACCGAAGGCTGGGACGTTCTTTGCCCATCTGATGCTCATGAAGAGTAGCCTGGCTGCCATCTCACATATTGCTTCTACACCATTTGGGCATGGTCGGATAGCGTGGTGGTGATGATACTGTGAAATTTGATAATGATTAATTTTAAATTTGCTTGCGGAAAAGTCCTCTGGAGGGCATCTTATTTTTGGAAAAATATTGGAAAATGTATTTCTCCTTACTCTTGGAATTGGTTGGCATAGAGTCAGTGTGTTCAGGCCTGGCCCCACGCCGTGAAAAGTGAAATTCACCGGGCCCACAGCCGCTGGCGTACCGCATGGCTCCGTGCCGCCGCCGCTGACTCCCCCGAAGAACGGATGGAAGTAAGTGGGGCTGTGTGGAGAAAAGCCCGGGCTGACTGGGTGAGCTACCAGGTCAGAGGAGGAGGGTAGTTCACGCAGTTGGGTGTCCCTAAGGTACAGAGCCATGTGTTTGCGGAGCGTTGAGTTACGAGGGCCTCTCTCGTGTTGAACGGCTGCAGAGGTTCAAAAAATTAGCCGAAAATTGCGAAATGTAATAAAAAGCTGTTAAAAGGCACGCGTACGCAGCATTTCTTACTTGTTAAATAAGATCATCGGATCTTCCAAATCAGCACGTTGTTTATAAATTATAAAGGAAGGTAGAATCTTAATTATTTTAATTAATGTTTTAATTGTAATGAGAGATGTAATAAAATCTTGTGCAGTTTGTGCAAAATATTTACTGATGTCGTTTTCCTTTCTTTTATAAATCTTTTAATTAGAAACAAAAAAATGAACAAAAATACTAGGTGAGACAAAAGCAAACGAATAAGCTTCATTCGGCAAGCAAGTCGTGGTTCTACTGATGACTAATAAGGCACTTGTTATCCTCGATGGCTTAGGTACTTTACAGCAATTGTCATGCAACAGCTTCCGGCATCCAACCACCTGATCGTCAGATGAGAGCGCACTTCAACCAATCAATCAAAACAAACTTTTTTATCAATAAAATTTCTCTCTACCATTTACCATATGACACAATAACTCGCCGTTTGATGACCATTTCACTGCAGGAATTGAAAAGACAGAAAGAAGTACTTCGGTGGATGGCTGGCTGTTAAAACGGAAGGAAACTACGGTACCATCTTTTTGCCTTCCATTGAATTTTGGGTTAAAAAAGAACCAAGCTAGAGTGGAGGGCACTTTAAAGGTAAGACTCTTCAATTTTGGTTCAGATTTGAAAGAGCAGCTTTGGTAACAGGGGCAGATGGGATGGATAGGTGAAGTGGCTTGGATAGAAACAAGTACCATCAGAGGAATTTGTTTGGGGAAGAGTTGCTCATTTTGAGAGGTTTTTGTGGTCACAAGTCTTTAGCAAGAACAATGCAGAAATTCTGAAGAGCTGGCATGGATTTTGCAGTTACCAGCTGCGTGGAACCGTTTCGAGAGGTCTATCATCATTTGGGAGATCGTCAATTTTCGCTGGTATTCAAGAGCCCATCGCTCAAGCTGTCGCATGTCCTCTCTGTCCTTTGTTTCTTGAGAATCTGTGAAGGCGGAGGGGGTTAACACCCCTGTCAGAGTCCCCGAACTGCCAGACACCCTTCCTACTTCCGCTTTCCTTTGTCCTAATGTTATTTTTATTTCTATCGGTAACACATTTTCCGCGTTCGTCTGCGAAGTCTTCAGCTTAGCCACCTGTTTGGCTTGAAACATGTTTAATGCTCAACATCTTATATAACTCAGTCGTAGGTTTCTTTACTCTTCTTGCAATAACTATCTACCTGTATATTGTCCCACTTACCATCTTTATTCATCTCTGCTTGAACGCATTTCTTGAGACGGCACGCCCTGCATTGGTTCCTATGCGTCTTATCGATAGGGCATGGACCGCGTCCACGATTCTTGCAGACGTAAGTGCGGTTCCGCCGAATGCTGCGTTTGAAGAACCCACTGCAACCGTCGCAGGCGTAGACACCGTAATGTTTGCCCGAACTCCGGTCGCCGCAGACTTTGCAAGGAATGTCTAAGATGCGACCTGGTTAGGATCGAGTGTGTGAAGAGAGTAAGGGACGCTGAAAACATGACTGTAGTTGCAATGGAATTCCATCATCGGAAATATTACTTCAAGACGTGAGTTTTTAAGATAAAAACATTGGGATGTTAGCAATAATGAGATTGAATGTGCTTGCCACAAATCATGTCAGCGACGAAATAATAATAAAAAACACTAATGTGAAGAATCCCCACTTTGGCATTATTCCCTTGAATTTTGGTTGTGAAGTGAAAACACGGTATTTCACAAAAATGTAACTCCATTTCGAGCTTGTAAAGTCTGTAGGCCTACTTTCATTTTTGCAAAGCTAAACCGAGAACCTCTCAAATGAGCTTCTGGATTATCAGGAAGCGCTGCAGACGGAGGAATAACTTGGCTACCGCGCTATTGCCTCACAGTAGACCTGTTAGGACCAATGTCAACAAACTGCCGTATGCTCAGAAAAGAGCGCTTGCCAATCGTGCTGCACGTGTGTGTAACGGCTGTTTGGTAATCGTTGTACATTTGCTCGATCAATAACGGCAGTCAAACGATCGTCCAGAAATCGATTCTTTTAATCATCCACACCTCCTAGTGTACAAAAGGCTGCCGCTAACTGGGTGGAATTCTTTGACGAACGGGATGTAAGTTAATACCTCTCTGCAGGATCAGCTACAGCGTTGTTGGTTGGCTAAATATTTTTACATTTGTAAGTAGGAAATATAGAAATTATTATCTGAAAACTAAAAGAAAATAAAGGACAAAGACGTGACCTTCAGATCATATATTATGTTAGGAAAGATAAGAATTGATGAATTTATCAAGAATAAAGAAAATGTAGTTTTTTCGAACCAGCACAGAAATCTCGTTATCATACTTTGATCACTTCGCGTTGTGTTTTGGTCTTGTGGAAAAAAATAAATAAAACAACACTGTGTATTGTTTACAAAAATACGATTGAAAAGGGAGGCTTGCGATTATTTCATATTTTCTCCTCGCTTTAGTTTTTCTTTTATATAAGGCTTGCAATATATTATTTCTATATTTATTTTATTATTTTTTTAAATTTTATTTCTAAAAAGTATTCGTATGGGATCAAAAATGGAACCACGGACCTATGGCGCTTCACACTTGGAATCACATTGGATATGGGACTTTTTGTGCTTGATTTTAGTGTTGGAAACGTTACAAACGGTGACAAAATCACGCGTAAAATGTGTTTGGACGGTTGCAAATTAGAGACCACTGATTGACACGACAATGGTAGCCTGTTGACACCTTGTACAATACTCATTGGTAACAACATGGGGATTACTCTGGACAAGAGGAAAGTGTAACAATCTGAGATTTAAGCTGTGATTAAGTCCCTTCTGTTTATCCTTACTCTAAGGACACCGTCTGTGAGCTGGGTTCTCATCCTAGTCTAGACAACCCACTCCAGTAAACTTTCTCAACACGCGGGTGTGAGGGATTAGGGCGCCCCCCGTGGATGAGCCTGAAATCACAAGACAGGACTCAGTCGTGGGAATGGGTACAGGTAGCGCATGGGCTTTTATAACCAGCCATCATTCCCACGAATTAATTGAGCGGCTTAAGACTCCCTTAGCTAAGATCTACCAGACCTTACTGATACCGTAAACATCCATGACAACTTGCGGGGATTCTCATTGGTTGGCAATCATCAAATGCTTGTTAATTAAGCCGCCAACAAAAAATATTGTGACAATCTCAAGTGGTTCAGCCTTGGAGCTGTCTTTCCTTCTGGAACAACGGGTTGGTAGGTTGGTGGCAAGACAAAGCGCTCCGTTGCACCCGGACCACTGCCTGAAAAGCCAGGCACAAGCTGGGAGATTCACCGGTGTTTGACTATTCAGCCAACGGGATCATCGGCCCCCGGTTCCCCGCTGGCATGAAGCTGGTTTCACGCTGGCTTCCCTTGTACGAGGAGCATGTGAACACGCCGTTCGTCCAGTCCCATCCAGTGTGGGAATCAAACACAAGACCCTTGAAGAAATTACTTTTGCTGTAGAATAAGGGGGTCTTTTTTCACAAATTTTGTGAATGGGTTGTGTTAAGTTTTATTTCGAATTGTAAAACAAGCTTGGCGTCGTTTTTGAGTGTTGTTTTTTGTACAGACAGCAGATGCTGCATGGGTGCGGGTTTGAGGTAGCATGGGGTCATGACCTCTTTGTTGGGTCACACAGATGGGTTGTGACGTCCCTTTCGAGTCACGTATGGTACGAGAGGGGAGCATCGACCTCACAGATAACAGAAAATCGTCACATTACTCGACAGTTTTCTTGATTTTGTCTTTTTTCCCGTTGAACTTTATTATTCTTACGGCAACAGTGCCTCTTATTTTTGATTTAGCAGTGACCTGTTTTATTCTCCTTTTTTGCGCAAGCGACGTGCCGAATGATACTGTTGAGCACCTCTCGATGTTTCTTGAATGAGTTTGTCTTTTCCAAGAGAATTAATTCACAGTGGTTTACAACCGTGCCTCAATTTTTATTTGTTACAGATATTTGAAAGAAATAAATGTTCTAGCGCCATTGTGCTTCATTTCAACCAATATGTTCCTTATTTTCTTTGGTTAATTTAAAAGCCGGGAATTTTATGAGGTCCTTATTAATAACAACTTTGCAACAAGTAATTAAAAACACCCCCATGAACGCATCATTGGTCTGACAACCGTCGATTTCATAATACAAAGACAAAGACTATTATCCACTAGATACTGTACGAGACATTGACAGTCGATGAACCGTGAGGGATATTCAACAGAATCTACACTGGCTTTTTGACGAGACCGAAAAACTGTTTCACTTAATTGTTTTACTAGATCGATATCAAATAACGCATATCATTCAGTGAAGGATTATTATTAGCTGGAAGACTCCATCGTAGCGTGAACGGAGTTAATAACCCAGAATAGGTTGATGATGGCTTCATCATTTTGTAGTAACGAACCGAAGACATACCATATGCACGTCCCATAATATGTATTTAGCCTCCAAATTATGACTATTGATAATTCAGAATGGGTTTGTATTTTTTTGTTATTATCGATAGTTTGGAATTGATACATGCGGTGCATGGATTGAAGATTTAGCATCCCATGCTGAAAGAATAACAGCCAAATGGAACCATTTTCACCATTTCATAAGCGAGATTTTTTTTTCTGAAATTTAGTAAAGATATCACAATAGATAATTTCCCCAAACGTTACTACATATATTTAAATAGTTTCTAGAGTTTTATAGGATTTTTCAAAGTTCCAAAGTGTGAAATAGTCTGAACTCGCCTAGTATAGGAAATGTCCTTGTGTTCTCTTTTATAGTCGTCACTAATGGTTTGTGTTGTAAATCAATTCGTCCCGTTTTCAAATTTATTTGCTGTCTTTTATTTATTTTTTTTTAGAGAGAATACCATATTGATTTGCTGTTTTTTTATTTTACAGAGGTTGACTCTCATGACAAACTCCATGCTTTGGGAGGAGTATAAAGTCTGTTCCCTTCTCCACAAAGATGTTCAGCTTTCCCAGAGGTAGGTAAGCAGCATCATCTACTCTTCATCCGATCTTGGCTTTAATTCCTGTCATATGTCACTCATCTAGAAACCTTCATCCCCTTCTTTCCCTCTTCAGACTCAATCGATGTTATTTCATTCCCACCTATTGACTTGCCTGAGCCATACATTGTCCTTTACAAATGAAACACTGCCTTGTAAGCCCTGACTTAGCGCTCTTTGGTAAGCTAATTCCATCATTGGAGTAGAAATCATGTCCGCTGTTTATGTACCTCTCCGTATCTCAAGACGCATTCTACTCGTCTCAAAGTAAATCATCAGTAACCTAACCCGTTGCTGTGTTACCATACAGCTAAATCCAAACACCAAGAACGATTTTTTTCAAAACGTTCCAATGGGACGTTTCGCTGGTTTCGTATATCTCTAAAATTTAATTTGCATGGAATGTACGGATTTTTGTTTTTGTTTTAAAAGAACAAAATAGACATAGTTTGAGCAAAGCACTGTGTATTTTTCGAATATCTGTTGATACACAGTTTTACTGCTTTGGAGGGAAAAAATTTAAAGAAATGAGAAAATGAAGATCTGTTAAAGTAATTTGAAAGATTCTGTTGCAACTGTAACCCTAAAACCGGCAAGTTATCTTATTTCAGTCCGAGAAGATATTAAGGATTTAGCTCGTGTGTCAATTTTTTCGGAGGCTTCAAGTTGAAAAAATGCAGAATTGGTTGTAACCTTTGCATCGGTTGGGGAAGAGTCCGGCTAATTGTAAATTGTATTTAAAGATTTAATCACTTCCCTCTGGTAATCCCTGAAATATTGACACACGTGCTAAATCCTTAATATCTCCTCAGACTGAAACCAATTATCGTAAATACGATTTTAAAATGGCATGGGACGCCTGAGGCAAAAATGACATTTGGTGGGAGGGGGTCTGTCAGAGGCTAGACAGGCTACGACTAATCCTTCAATAAGTAGATCAACCTAATGAAAAGTAACGGTGTCCTGGTAGGACTTACAGGTGCTAATACGGTGATGATGGGTACAATCTTTTATTGATTGGTAGACAGGTTAGTTTATGATCTAATGAGACGTGTAGACTTCTTTCGGGTCGTAATAATATCAGACGACTTTCGCACCACCGAGAGCATGTAGAGTCAAGAAATCCACGCCGGAGGTTTCTTAACAAGAAACACATCTATTTGATATCTAGTAACTTCACCACGATAACTATGGTTTTAGCTAGTTGAGACTATGATTGTAGCCAGTTGAGACTATGATCTTAGCTACTTGAGACTATGGTTTTAGCTAGTTGAGACTATGATTTTAGCTAGATGAGACTATGATTGTAGCCAGTTGAGACTATGATTGTAGCCAGTTGAGACTATGATTGTAGCCAGTTGGGACTATAATTTTAGCTAGTTGAGACAATGATTGTAGCCAGTTGAGACTATGATTGTAGCCAGTTGAGACTATGATATAGCTAGATGAGACTATGATTGTAGCCAGTTGAGACTATGATAGCTAGTTGAGACTATAATTTTAGCTAGTTGAGACTGTGATTTTAGCTAGTTGAGACTATGATTTTAGCCAGTTAAGACTATGGTTTTAGCTAGTTGAGACTATGATTTTAGCTAGTTGAGACTATGATTGTAGCCAGTTGAGACTATAATTTTAGCTAGTTGAGACTATGATATAGCTAGATGAGACTATGATTGTAGCCAGTTGAGACTATGATATAGCTAGTTGAGACTATGATATAGCTAGTTGAGACTATGATATAGCTAGTTGAGACTATAATTGTACCTAGTTGAGACTACGATTTTAGCTAGGTGAGACTATGATTTTAGCTAGTTGAGACTATGATTTTAGCCAGTTGAGACTATGATATAGCTAGTTGAGACTATGATATAGCTAGTTGAGACTATGANTTTTAGCTAGTTGAGACTATGATTTTAGCTAGTTGAGACTATGATTTTAGCCAGTTGAGACTATGATTGTAGCCAGTTGAGACTATGATTGTAGCCAGTTGAGACTATGATATCAGCTACTTGAGACTATGATTGTAGCCAGTTGAGACTATGATTTTAGCAAGTTGAGACTATAATTTTAGCTACTTGAGACTATGATTTTAGCCAGTTGAGACTATGATATAGCTAGTTGAGACTATGATTTAGCTAGTTGAGACTATGATTTTAGCTAGTTGAGACTATGATATAGCTAGTTGAGACTATGATATAGCTAGTTGAGACTATGATTTTAGCCAGTTGAGACTATGATTGTAGCCAGTTGAGACTATGATTGTAGCCAGTTGAGACTATGATATCAGCTACTTGAGACTATGATCGTAGCAAGATGAGACTATGATTGTAGCAAGTTGATAGCAAGATGATTGAATTATTTTTCGCAAACCAGTCACTGTCGCTCAAATTTTCTGGCATAACTCTTACCCTTCTACCATTTCGAGGCCCTATGCGAAAGTAGAATAGTGGCCCGTAGAAGAAATGAACTCCAAAAAAGGACTAAAGTGTTAAAAAGCCATGATTTGAAACCATTCACATTAACCAGTTTATTGCCTGAATATCAAGATTAAACGTGTATAAAATCAATTGAGAGGCTTAACATGCATGATTGGTAGTATGCCTAGAAGCAAACTGTAACAGATACCCGAGGCGTTGTAAAGAAAGTTTCAGTGAGCGATTATTAACTTACTTGATGTTGATCCAGCTTTGCCGCTCATTTTGAATCACACAGCTTATTTTTTCTAATTTGTGATCCCGGAACAATATCGTGAGAAGTCCGTCAGTAATCCTAGCCGCTGGGCAGGCCTGATAGTAGCGGAACGCGGCCGCTGCGTTTTCAGCGTCTCTGACCCGGTTTGTGACGAGCGCGAATCACGCCAGTGGCCGTGAAGATCCGATTGCCCTCGCAGTTCTCCTCTCTCAGCTCGGGGCTCTGGTGTCCGCCAGCCGGCAGGGCTTGCTTTGACTGTCTCGCCTCGGGGCAATTCAGCTTGGAAGCTGATAATGAGGCAATTGGTGGAGGCTTTTTGTGGTTTTACACAGTGTAAAAACCTGGCGGTGAAAGCTGCCTTACAGGGCGCCCTGGGGTGAGTAACAAAACCCCAACAACACTCCTCCCACTTTGTTACACAAACCTATGACGCTGGAGAAAAATGAGCAGACGACACAAAGTGGACTCGTCAAAACGCTCGCTGATTGGCCAACCAATTTTAGTCAACGATCGTTCTTTTTCTGACTGGAAATCAGTTGTACCGTTCGATGTGTGTGTGTGTGGAGTGAACAGTGAGAAGCTGTAGGAGCTTAGTTGACGAATCTCTCTGTATAGTGGTTTCTACACTATTACAGGTTAAGCTATAGAAGGCAGTTCATATTCTCCTATTTCTACGATAGCTGCCATGCAGAAATCAGAATCCGTCGTCAGACTTGTGATCGGACCTCACAAAGGAAACTGGACTTTTGGGCCTAATTTCTGGTGTAGTTTGCTGTTGCTCGGTCAATTATAGTCACTGAGCATTTCTTGAAGTTGGTATAAAAAGTTACATGGTGGGCGGCATCGTGTATCCGGTTCGTAAGTGTGACGTCACTTCAGTCTAAACCACGCCCACAGCACATGTACTGCACATAGAGTTACAATTTTATCACTGTTACATTGTACCACGGAACCGGAAGTTAACGCGCAACTTCAGCGATCGTCCAATGGGAGCCTGCAAATCGTGGCGAGTCCGCATTTATGACGAAGCCACTTACGAACCGGATAGTGTAAAGTGTTCAACCATATCAAATTGGCAGGTGATAACTTAGCATCTTTAATAGGAAGTGAAATCAATTCAGATATACAAACTTTCCTTGTACACCGACAACCAGCGATAACTTGCTTGAATAGAAACATTTGGAGTTTGACGTTTTGGTCAGGCCATGGTACTATACGTGTGTCACTATTCATTAAGTTAAACTTGTTATTTTGACCCTCCTTGCTCCAACTTGATCCGCCCTCCTCTTCCACGCCCCATCTTTTCCCACCACCGATCAAGGGCCACATCTGACAGCCGACGTAACTGCTAGTCATCTGGGGTTAACACCAAGTAGTGTCTATTTGCCTTAATACCTCGGCCCTCGAGCCACACAAAAAGAGCCCCTTCAGAAAGTCACCCAAAAGGGCGGCAGTAAGACACACGGCCGAGTGTCAGCCTTCCGTGCCTGCCCGCAGGGTCGAATGCACTCTGACTGCATCGTACTCACAGTGCCCCCGGCTCGCTAAGGCAAACAAATCCAAGGGGGAAACAAACCCAGGCGCGCCAGTGCTCCAAGCAGTTACGGGGCTGGCGCTGCGTTGTGCCCGGGGCTTGGGTTTGTGGGAGGTTTGTCCACTTGTGCACGCGTTGTTCATCGGCTGGCCTAACAGTGGAGCAATCCCCCTGATACCAGAGAGCTGACAGGACTGGGATTCCTATTCAGTCAGCACGTAAAGAGCGGGGCTTGTCGTTTCAATAGACTGTCTGCCATTGAGTGGGCTCTCTTCGTATTGCTATTCCATTCTAGTCCAGGGGTTGTCGGAACCACACACTCATCGGCCGCCCCACAAACCAAGTTCCCCGTAAAAAAAGAAAGGAAAAAAAAGGGGTAAGTTAAACAGTCGCTCTCTTATACCTGGGCGGGGCAAGTAAATATTTTATGATTGCTTTTACACGATCTTGTTTCTCTGCCTATTGCACTCTAGTTGACTATTGCATCCTCGTCTCTGGCCTCCGACTCTTTCTTTGCCAAATCTGAAGTGATCGTTCAATTGCCAGCATTTACGCAAGTCCTCAACGAACAATACCTCTTGAGTCCCGAGCACGGGCAGACGTATACATCACACTGAGAACCCGATGAAAAAAAATGGTTTTGGCGTTTTTGAAGATGATAATAGACACAATTGTACTGAATGAATTGTTGGGGGATCTAGCGGTCCATTCTTGCCCGTAACCAGGGTGATTTAGAGCAGGTGGTTGGACAGCAAGATGGACCAGTTTCACGGCGGCTGAACCCCCCTTGATTCCTCGTGGACGTCTAGTCCTGATTGACCTAACTCAATATCTCTAGTTTCTGTGTGTAATTCTTGACGTGATTTAACCGATGGACAGAGATGATCAAGTCCCTTCCATCATCTCAACCATCTTCCACATTTACTTGGCCCTCTTCCCCCTTCCCAGGGTTTGGTAACCAGTGTCTCCAAATTAAACTGAAGGATCTTTCAGTGCATGTGATGTTTCACTGGCCACACCACGTCAGTAAGGAAAACTCTCCGCTAGTCAAATTAACATCAGATCAGTAAGGCTTGTGTCAGTGTAACTCCGCCCATCGAAATCAGCAAATTGAAAGAAAAAGGTTAGTTGAAGACGTGGTGTCCTTTTGTCTCCTCGTCCTGGTTATCAGTTCACGTTAAGATGAAATTCCTGTTCCAACGACACGGCATTTTGTAATCATGAAGCATCGGCTATCGTCAGTGAAGTAATTATTCTGTGAATAAATTCACTACATGTATTGTTTTTGCGTAAATTTCAATTCTATTTTTTTTTTAATTTTGGGGAGGGATTTGAAATCCCGTGAGACAAATTTTAGACAGCTAAAGTGCTGTGCGAATTATTATTGCGAGCATACAATAATCTCTTCTCGAATGAAAACTGTGTCATCCTTATTTACGAAACAACGGACGTCAAAAAATGAAAACAGTATAAAAAATGTTGGACAGGCTTTCAGCGGACCAGCTGTCGATCAAACTGGGCGTGAATCGAGCACAGCGTGTTTACCCAGGTGGCGTGCTAGCCGTGAATTGGTCAGGCCAGTCTTAACCGTGCCAAAGCAGCGATAGCCCCGTTGGCGCGTTGTAAGGAGCGCCCACCACAATGATCCCACGGGGAAAGTTAGGGGAGCGATGCCGACTCTCCTATTGTCAGTCAGCAGTTCGGAGTCGCTAAGCCAGACCGTTAGGCGAGACTTTTGACAAGAATAAAATGGAAAATCCTTGTCAAGCCTGCAAATAGAAAAAATGAAAAAAAGGAAGAGAGGGACCTAGTTTGTGATTGAGAAACTAGGCCGAGGATAACAGAGTGTTTGTTAAGTTTGATTGTCAACTCGGAGGGAAAAGAAAGGAAAAGTTGACGGCAGGAGTAACGCTTAGCCTACTTGCATGAAAGACTAAAACCCACTTTTGACAGGGAATCGTCACCCTGACGACTACCCCAGAATGGACCAAAGTCCAACTTGTTGTTTCGTTCGTGCTGTCACCCACATTTTGTGGCACTGCAGTCCACTAAGATCTATTTAATTACCCTTTCATATTTATTTTCTATTCTTTGTAAAAGGCAGGTTAACGAAATTTAATATCTAGAACGAGTTCACCTCTGCTATTGCTTACACTGCTCATTACACTCGCGGTGCAGCTTAAAGAGACTTGGAAGAGTTTTGTGGAACTTAAGAAAGACCAAGAGTCAGGGACAAAAATGTAGGCTTGTAAATATCGGTCAAGAAACGGTTTTATTCAGGAGAAAAAAATGAATTAGGTTAGATAAACAGTCGACCGACAAGGCGTGTTCTTAAAGCCCCACTGCAGTAGCAAATTGAAAATTGCCTCCGCAGGGGTGTGTCCTGACTGAAAGGAGGCGTGATGGGTGAGGAGGTTTTTGACAAAGTGGTAGCATAACTTTCTTACCCTCGATTGGCCTAGCCAGTGGACTCTTGTAGCCAGTCTTACGTGCACATTTTTATGCGTTTTATTCTGAAATTCAAGAACACTTTTCTGGCTTTTCTTTTCCCCAAAGCTACAAATTAGTTCCAATTTATGAGTGTCCAGCCAACATGATGTTCCCTGCCGTTTAACGTGGCGTTGTGCCACTCCGCTTGCGAGTACTGCGCTAGACTCTGGGTACAAAAGCGAGCGGACGCCGGCGTGGGGACTCTCTCGCACGCTGTCCAAGCCTTTGGTAAACAAAAATTTAAACAGCATGAAAATGTGTTTAAAACGCGCAAATTTATGGCCCTATTGTGCAGGTCGTCGTCGCTTTTAGAACAGGGGGTTAAAATGGGGCAGGAAGAGCGACAAAAATTCCCCAGGGCATGGGGGTTTATTCTGGGTTCCATATGGGGGTGTATGGTGTGTTTTTTGTTGGGGTAGGGTGAGAATAAAGCTTATCTCGTGTATTATTTAGCAGATCGTTAGCATTCCGAATTGAAAAATCATGAAATTTTTCAAACTGCTAAATTTTTGTCCGTAAAACATTCTTATCAAAGCCATTATTACATGTACTTCAACTAATCAGTTCATAAGTACTGTTCACTTTTTAAATCTAAGCAAAGTGGGCCTACGAATGGACCCATTATAAAAGTTTTGTTTCGAAATCTGGTACAGAATTTCAAAGACAACTCTTCTTTATGAAAGATGTTCATACTTTCAACTGAGTCAATTTCTGTCGTACGTTGTCTTGAAACCTGAATCTTATTCGTGTTCAACTGTTTCAATTTTTTCCATATCATATCTGGCAAATATTTGTTCCGAACCGACGTTTATTAAAACCGTTTTTCTTTTTCAGATCAGAGTTAAATCTGTATCGGATTCCAACTGCAATGTAACCAACAATGCTGCCCAGCTTTTTACCCTATTGTTAGCAATCGTACTGAACACTTTTATTAATTACAATTTTTTTTCCTTTCCGAATTCGACTTCCACACTATCCTTGGGCCATTACGGTTCGTCCATTTGTCACTCTGATAGATACATTTCGTTTAAGAACAAACATCCAATTATTAATACAGCTAATTTGCCCGTAGTTATTGGCTCAGCGGTGTGCGAGAATCGCGTTCCACTGCCCAACATTTACCGTTTCGTCTAGGGTTACACAAAACGAACTATTTGACACAAGAAAAGCAATTAAATTCTCTTCATGCTTGGCTAATATCGCCATCCTGATGTAAGGCCAAATATAGAAACAAGATTTTGTTACATAGAGTGGCACGTGATCGTTCTTAAGGCGAAAAAAACGCGCGAGATATTGCTAATATTTCAAATATTTTATGAAGGAAAGCGGCTACCATGCATGTACCACACTGGAGAGCAATTTCGGGAAATGCCACTCCTCTGCTGTGAGGAATAATCAAGAAAGTGGGCGGGTCTTCATTGTAGAAACAAGTTAGTTGAGTATGTCGTGGCATCTGCCGTCCCCCAGTAGCCAATCACAGTCCAGGGGTAGGACCAACTTGTTTTTTACATCCAATCGGCATGCTTATTTGTAAAGATGAGCCAGTCATAACGGTGAACTCATTAACATTCACAAAGGGCGTGAATGTTGATGGCGTCCTTTTAACAGCTCCGACTCGAACAGGTGTGTGATAAATTAAACCGTAGGTATTAAATATTTCAGGCCTAATGTGGAAAAATTCAAAGTTTGAATTTTGAACATGCGAATAAAAATATAGAAGATTGATTTATTTGAGAGCAAGCGCAGCTACACGAAGGTCTGACGTGTCTACTGTCGTACCAGGAGTAAACGCGACTATTATCTTGCGTTTCAATGCCCGGAAATGAAAACAGTTTAACCAACGCGGCGGTTTGCACAGCGGGGAAGATCTCCGTGAGAACAGGCTGAAAAAAACCGAGTAGAGGGTGAAAATGAATAAAAACGGCATAAGAAAAAAGTGCACTTCTCGCTTGGTTCCTCGTGAACGGCATGCATTAGTGAGCTGAGCCGTGAAGAAGTCACGAGACCGCACGCTGAGGTCCGTATACCGACCCACCTACCCCGATTCCGTGGAAGAATTCATAGTTAACAAGGATCCGTACGCGCGGCGGTGAGTTCAGGGCACTTTGGTCGACAATGAGCCGGAGAGGGGGTTAGTAGGGAGGATTGGGGGTGGAGGCAGGGAAGGACCGTTGGCGGCAACCTCTTAGATGTCTGCATCATGCCGATAAAATGGCGGGAGTTTTTTATGCTGTGAAAAAGGGCTCGTGTTAATCGAGTAAATGGACGAGTCTGGAGTTGAGGAGGTGTATAGGCAAATCTGTATTCTCTCTCAAGTCTCATTGATGTTTCTGCACTTGTATCCCAAGGGGTGTTAATATCAGATATGGTTTGATTACTTTGACATCTGTTGTGTGTGACTGCAAGTGTTTGAAGTTGAAGCTGGGGTTTTAACCACTATGTTTTATTCATAGGCACTCTGATTACTCCGCGGATTTGATTTATTTTGTTAACCTGGTTATTTGCCATTTCATTGGCCGATTGTCTGCAACTTGCCATTATGGTTTCAACATACACGCGACCAGTGATTAGACCTTATTCCGGGCACCGGGGAAAGAGGCAATGATACCTCGGCACGTAATGTGATCAGTGTTAAGCCAGATTGCAAGACGAGATTGATCCTGATTGTGATAGGTTTCGGTTGGTGTTAGGAGAGGAATTCCGCCAAAGTGGTGGAGGCACACATTATTCTATTAGTTACATTGCTGATAGACCCGTAGAATAGTCTTAAAAATCACTTGACTGCTCTGAGGAAGACAGGCAAAGGAAAGATATAATGGCAGACAATCAGATGGCGAGTAAAGCGAGAGACAATGGCAAAACAGCCAGACAATATCAGTTCGTCATACAAACAAATGAACATGACAGGATTAGAACAACCAAGCCGGTAACTCGACAGAGGGACGAAAACACCCGGATTTGATTTGAATTTGTGGAGAGTGCGAATCACTCGCTCTTCCAGTAAAAGTACAACCTGGCCCGGCCGTGAACCTGGGTCGATTCCCCCATCCTCAACTTACTCCGGCATGAAATAATAAATCAGCAGCCGTTCCTGATGAACAATGCACGGCGCACTGCCGGCTCTGTTCCCGATTGAGACCAACCAGTCGTAAAATCGGCTTATAACTTTGCCTTGACTTTGCCAAAATCGGTCTGAAAAAACTTTGTGTCAGCCTGCCACACCCTTTTGTATGTTTTTCCCGATAGTCCAACCTGTGTTTGGCGAATTTAGAGGTGTGAAGATTTCTCCTGATCGTGTCTGCCATGCGTAAAGAAAAGTCGATTTGAGCTCGGAAGTCAAAATATGATCATGTGGAAGGTTTGTGTTTGTGAAACCAATTCAACGTGGTTTGTTGGATTGACGGTGTTTGCGGGATGAATGGATTTGTTATTCAACCCACAGCTGCGCGGCCCTGTAGCTAGTGCTCGGCTCGGATGCATGGTCGTATTAGAATTGTGTCCAGGATATTACAACTGAGATGAAACTCATGAAATCATGGTCAGCCTTAAAAAAAACTTCATGGCTATCAAATAGCTATCTCCAACAAATCTGTTTCCTATACGATTTTATTTTCAAGTGGATATATGAATTTATTAATAGAAGTTGTTGTTTAACTTGTAAAACTCTTTCTCTTTACTTTTCATCCCAACTTTTGAGTTTCTTAATTTTAAAGGCAAGTCGGCTACAATACAGGTCCAGTTACGCCAAACTAGTAACAAAAGCAGAATCACATTAACTGCCTTGTTGGTGACGAAAAATGTGCGATGCAGTGAGTCTCTACGCTCACGACTGCTTTAAAGTACACGGGTGAAAGATTACCTTTTGGTAAAATTACTACACCATATCTTTCCAAAATCTTTGTGTAGGACATAGGCTCTTTTACAGCCGTTAGTTAGACCACAGTTCCCCCATCCCTCGCCACCTGCCGAGTGCTCAGAGCAGCAGATCCGGAAAATTTCTGAACTCTGGCATTTCGAAATTTCTAATTTGTTGACATTAATTTAGCGCGTATTCCGCAAGTTGCTTTATAAAACTCACTGAAGGCCAGACGGTTAACAACAAACCCTTATCATAATAATCTTAGCATTCACTGTCAAGTTTGTATAACTCTGGAATTTTATAAATAGAAATGACAGGAAAAAGAGAACTTGTTGATCCCGTGTTGGCTTTTTCCGCTCGGGTGAACGAGTTACTTCAGGATTCTAGTCTTGATTTTTCTTTCTTTCTTTCTCGGTGCGTGGGCAGGAAAATACCGATTCTGAGTGCCTGACAAAAGACGTGCTTCCCCGTAACCTTTCTGAAATGGACAAGCCTTTGCTTTGTCCCTCCCAAAACCCCGACATTTAACTGTGTTGGTTAAAAGGGTACCGACTGCGTCCTTTATCTCCAATTCTTGGTCTTTTCCCCCATTTTATTCATTTCCCCCAATAAAACAGAACACCATTCCTAATCTTTCCTGGACATATATATCGTTTTATTCCATATTCCATTGTCTTTAAAAAAATTCTACAGAACCCATTGTTTGTAAAAACTCGCTTAACCTGTGATTCAAAAAAGTAAGACGATAGTCACGTAAAATCCTTCCTCTTCACTGGTTCTACAAATTTAACCCAGCAACCCTCCACCTCGCTTGTTCCAATATCATCATCAACTTAAAGTCAAAAAGTGCCAAAGACCTGAGTCACGTTGCAGATTTGTTCAGTGTTATTAAAAAAAACTTGGTGCATAGGAAATATTGTGCAATGCTTAAATACCGGTGGCATTTATGGAGCGGATGATAAGTACCAATACGGCAGAATTTGTACAATTGTGCATAGAAGATTGTAGTTCACTGTGTTCAGATTAGAATATTTTTAACGGGTAAATTCGATCAAGGACCACTAGTTACCGAGTGGTTGATTCGTGACGTACCTAGCGCAAGTGCAGTGATGTTGATGTGCGAAGGACCTTACAATCAACCGTTGTCAAGTCATAAGGCCGAAGGGGCGAACAGGTAGCCGCAGGAAGGGCAAAATAGCAAAGATAAGTGAACTTGGTGGTTTACTGGTGACACACTGTTTTCCAGCAATTTTCTTATAACTGGTCCTCTCTGCACTGTGCTATTACAAACGGTTCATGGCAACCAACGACGTGACCAACCTCGGTAGGCAGCACAAAATAACAGTTGACTAATCCAGACAAAATCCAAATGTACGTTCGATCGCAGTTAGTCGAACCATGTATGTAACTACGGTCCTTGATCGAACTTGCGTAATGTTGCTAAAGAAGCTTACGTTGTGTAGTTCTGCTCATGAAAACGAGACTTTGTTCTAGAGGCTTGCTAGCCAAGCTGCATCTCAATAAAGCAATTTCTTCCATATACATGCACAGTGTATATGGAGAGCTGTGTAGTGGGAAATCGGAAGCCATGCTTCGATGGCGTCCCATCAGATTGCAGGCCGTAGCGCCCTCAGTGTTTAAGGCAAGCCAGCTTAGTCTCTGCACGTGCTGACGGTACCTAACAGTTTTTATAACGTGTATATCAATAAAATTGTCGATTTAGATTAAGTCTGTGCGTTGGATTTTCCCTTTGTAGACATAGAGAAAGCTAAGCGGGGAAGGCTACATGAATGTCTACTCAGAAAAAAATGTTTTCAGTTTTCAATTTTTTTTTCAACGCAGAACCACACTCCAAAGCTTCCACTCACTCCTTTCACCACTCACCATTATCAAACGAAAGAAATATTTGGCTGTAACCAAAACATCACCTGGCCATATCAATACTGCAGTGCATAAAAATTATTTATCAAAATTCTACATTTACATATGAAATTCCAATGCATAATGTGTTTGAAAAATTCATTTGCATACCAAATATTATTACTAATGTAGAAGGCCTCAAGTCTTATTTGTTTGATTGACACAGACAAGTCATGGAAGATACAAGTACAGTTTTATGTAAAAATACAGCCACTGCATGAAAACTAGAAAAAGGTTGATTCAGCCAACGACAAACAAAAAATGACACAGGCTCCCATGAGACAACTGGAACAGACAAGATTAAGAGTTGAAACTCTTTCTTGACTAGAGTCCATAAAAGAAGCAACCACATAAGGCATGTCTCAATAAGAAATGCTAAGTAGGCAAAACCAATTCAAGGTTTTGCTCAAAAACAGCTTAAAAATGTAGACAAGGAGGGAACCGAATGAATCCTGTTGTGCAGGCATGGAGTTAACGATACTTTCTGGATTGAAGGTACCCTCCGATCATTCAGCACTGGTTCAGCAGTCTCAATGGATTTCAGCAGCAATACACAACAAACGTTTAATACATATAAACAACATCAATTATTCTTGAAATGTAACCCAGCTTACACAGGAAATAAAATACATAACCACCAGTGCTATTGACCTCTTCACTGCTTACCAGAAATCACATGGTGCTGCTAAGCTTACATTTGTACTTAGCATGAGGAAACTGTGCTAAGCAGTATAGAGCACAGAGTGGCATTTATTTTCAGCAGTAAAGGGGTTAAACTGTGTGTCTGAAATGAAATGGAAAGAGCAAGAATCCTATTACAAAAGTTATTCATGGAATGCTGAAAACAACTTTTTGCCCAATGGCTCCTGATTTTTGATGTGACTGAAAACAGGAGCAAATTTGGCCGCTCAACTACACAATCAGACAGAGACAAAGAGATGTGACATGCTCATCAGCAACTTTTAGACAACAGGCACCAAACTTGCTCCTGATTGATATGCATGTTACGAGGTCATTTGTAAATCCAACCTTTCACCAATAGATGGACCTGCCTAGGTGGAAACCATGGTAGGCTGTTGGCTGGTGTACATTCTCTTTTTCTGGCATTTCATCTCTTCATCAACGATCACCGGGTCAAAAGGCAATTTGGACCACTCCTCAAAGTCAAAATGGCAGTCGTTGAAAACACCTTTCATGCGCCGCCTGTAAAGATTGAGAGAACATTAGAGTGATCAGAAATTAATAATTAAGATTGCTAATATCACTTCAGGGACAGGACTTTACAGATGTTAGATGCCTTTGAAAATATTGAAACACTGCTTTATCTTCTGTCTCATCATTAGCAAAAAACTTGTTTCTAAAGTGCAAAACATTTCACATGATTTTTTTAATGGATTTCACTATTAAATACAACCTGTTTCCATTCAAAGAGATTAATTTTCAAAATTCTCTTTGCATTCACAGTAATGTGGAAATGTCAGGATGCTACAGATTGTTGGACTTAAAAGCTGCCGCACTCAGCAAAGGAGAATCAGCTAGGCGTACCCCGGTTGACTGTGTGTAACAGACAGGGTTGGTGAGTCACAAAATACTAACCTGCTGCCCAATCTGACTGGGCTCTCAATGTCATGCAGCGGCATGGCAAGCCATGTACGACAATCAGTTCCGTGCCTTCCTAGGGGCACTAGGGGTAACGGTGGCAAGTGTTGGACCTCAACTGCTGAATCGGAGAGGGTTCTCCCTGTTATGAGAAGAGTGGAAATGTTGAGGTTGACAGAGTGGCAAAAAAGATGCTGTCACATCCCAACTCTAAAAGAGAGGTAATAACTTTGAAATCAGAGGATCTGGTTAAATTGGCATAGTCCTGACTGAAAACATCATCGCGGACTTGTCCTCATTTTTGGCTGAATGGCAGTACTTTCATAAATGTGATCACAGTATACCCAGAGTAGAAAAAGAAAATTGTAAAAATCTGATTTGTAATCGTTAGTAAATTAAAGAATGCATTTCCACAATTTTGAGATTTTGCACACTTAGCAAGAACACAAGTTAACACAAAATTTAAAGACAATTTTTAATATTAGCCAGCAGAATAATACACACCTGTTCTACATCTGATGATAGTTCTATCTTCTTCATTTCTATTGCGTTGCTGGGCTATAAGGGGGTCGTTAAGGGTATCCGTCTTGGCTACAATTGGAGCTGGTCGGGGTACCACCAACTTAAGAGGGTCATACTCTTTTGGGTCATAGACATCTAAGGAAACAAAACCCTGCCAAGAGACAAAAAACATATGCCTGAATAAGAAACTACAAAGGATTTTTAAATTTCAGATAAGGGTAAAGTTATGTAATACTTGCATATAAACTATGAAGGTTTGCAAATAATTATGGGTCAATAAAAAAGACATAGTATGATTATTATAGAATCCTACTACATCTTACTGTCATAATAGATAAACTGTGATTGCATAACTTATTTCTGAGCATGGGTGTCATGGTGGAAATGAGGGCACTTGCCCTACCCCTGGGGAAAAAAATGGAAAATAACAAAGGGAAAAAGAGGGGGGGGGAAGCAATAGGAAATGAAAGGTGATAAATATAAATTGCTTGCAAACCCCCCTCCAAATTGACCCCTCCGTCTGTTGTTTATCTTTCTTTAAATAACGACTGCTACATCCCCCATGCCATTTTCCCCCTTTACAAAGGTAGCTCCCCCCCCCCGAAAAAATCCTTGTGATGCCCATGTTTCTGAATGCATCCCCTCTGCTTTGGGAAAAATCTTTTTCTTCTTCCAAGGTAAATATAGGACTTAATGGATACATTTCCTGACAGATACCAACTTCCTTCAACAAAACCAAAGTAATGCGGTCAAAATGTCTTGGCAAAAAAAAACAAATGGCATGATTTTTCCAAGCACTAAAGATCAGAAAAAGGAACTTTATTAATGTTCAAAAACATTGTCTTATGTTTTTTGGTTTGATTTTACTGGTTTGAAGGATCTCTTGGTACCTTTTTATTCCTGTGTTGTAAATACTCAAGGAAGAGCGCCCTCTTTCTCTTGTCTACTGCTGCGTAGTTTCCCTTCATCTCTTGGTAGATCTGCTCCTCCAGTGGTGCAAAGATGCGTTCATTCCACTTCTTGTACAACATCTCTTTCTTGCGCAGATCCAAGAAAGACTTCTCAGTCAAAAAATTATCAACATCCTGAAGACACAAATGGCACAAAAACACAACATAATTTCAATCATTTATTAAAATGGGTGAGCTTATTTGAATATCTTGAAAGTGTATTTAAATTTGAAGCCTCAGTCTTGTTTATAAAGATTTCTTGAATACCAACCTTGACAAATGTGTTTTCTCTATCTAAAATTGCCATGTACAATTTTTTGGTTTCTTTCGATTCTGGATCTGCACGTTCCTGTATGATCAAAGAAAACAGAGCAAACTAAAATAAGAAATTGTAAAAAAAACACTCAAAAGATTACATTAGACAATTGAGGAATAAAAATAAATCAAGTGCAAGCAGAAATCGTTTTCATGCACTTCATTTCAAAAGAAAACAGAAGCTCCTACCTATGAATAGGCAGGTGTTAATGTGTCGATTTGGAATAATCAACAACACAAAGTCCATATCCAACAAACCAAGCTCCATGGATTGATATTGTTCAATATTGTTTACCCAGAGCTATATTTGTAAAAGCTAGTTGACGGTAACAGTTTGTTATTGTCACTGCTGTAAACTCAATCCCTGCACGGATTTCTTTATTTTTATTGAAAACAGTTTTGCACAAAGTGACTACTTTGATAGGTAGATAATACAATTTGTAATGGTCAGTAGTAAATCATTAATTTGTACCCTACATTTTGATAGATGTTTTGAAATTAATCATATGAAACTGTTCAACATCATCCCCATCAATTTGAGTGGTTGCTAGGTAGGACAAGCAATCAATAAATCACTTTACAGTCCAAGGAACAGCATACATCACGCAATAGTCAGATTGACCCCTGACCAAACTTCCAATGTCCACATTCTGCAAAGGAGTTCACCATGTGTAGTAATTAGAGTGTTTGTGTTTGATTTTTATGAGGGTCTGACATCAATAAGGGTCTTGGCTGTGCAAACAATACTGGAACCAGGGTAAATTAACTCAGCAAATGCGTTAAGGAGTACAAGCCATTAATGGGTTTCTGCAGTGGAGTTGAACAATAAGGCAGAGCCCTAAATATGCCACCTCTCTGTCCAACAAATTATTATTGAAGTACTTCGGATATACCTGGACACCACGTATGGATTTCTGACAAAGCCAGTTCTGTATCTTGGTACTCTGGTCTAGTGATGACCGGCTGCTGTTAGCTGATAGTGTGGTGCTTGACCGACTGACTGGTGTTGACCATGGTCGCTTGGTCTCCGGCAATTTCCTTCTTGTGTCTCGTCTGCCAGGCTATGTTGAAACAAAACATTGCAGGAAAAAAATGAATCTCACTCAACGAACAATTTTCACAGTTCTCCTTCTGTGTATGTGTACCACATGAGATGATAGAAGAGGGCCTTCAAAATAAATTACTCCAACAGCAATTTACTTTACACTGTACATGGAGAGATTGGTTATTTGTTAAATATTGAACAGAAACGCAGCAAGCCTGATGTAGAATTTTGAGTGTCACTTGGTCAGTTACTGTGTTGTAGCACATACCTTGTAATTCCTGATCTAATTGGCTCAATGGCGATCAATACTTGACAGCTTTAACCTGAAACTAAATACATGTATAATAAACAACAGAACTCTTGAGCGAAGCTTCAATAATTCACATTCAATTTATTATAGCAATGAATTAGATATTTTAAGGGCAGATGCTTTTTGAAGGAATACTTTCGTGATTGGTTCAAGCAGTAAGATTCATAAATCATTAGGTTACATGATGGGATATGACTTAGACAAAGAATGATATTGTCAGGCAGTGAAAGAGATGCTGACTCTTCTTGAAGTGCTAATAAACCAACAAACAAGACAACTTTAAAGATTAAAAAAGAAAAATAATTTTTATCAAACTTGACTACACGTTTAATAATTGTGTAGGAAAAAATACTGAAAATGTGGTTATATTAATATTTAAATGGGTAATAATGCAAATGTAGGCCGACATCAAATTATATCAATGTTTAAAACCCCTCAAAACAGGGCCTGGCCTCTCCGGTCAACATAGTCAAGGAAAAATGACAAGAATTGGTAGGCCTAAATAAACTTGGTTCTGCTGTGTTGTCTAAAGTATCTGCTGTAGAAATAACTAGATTAATCTACAAGCTCAACTTTTTGGTTGGGTTCAGGGAAAAAAGATTTTGACAATCAATTCATTTCGGAGCTCCTGACGCCAATTTTGACGGGCGTGCCACTGCTTATAAATAGAACGAACAACAGCTTTTGTGTATTGAAAGTACACCTTGTACAGCTAGTAGTAGACTAGACTGTATATACCACACTTCGAAAACTTACCGATGATTTTATTCGTTCTGTCGGTCTGACATCAGCCACTAGTGCTTCGTGTAATTGTGGAGAATGGACCTTTATTCCACAGCACCTTTCTCCTGTAGCCATCTCTGTTTGATAGTTAATTTACCATTGAGAAGTTTTCATAATTACAATCTATGGGGATGCATGGAGCTTATTCACCAGTTCACGAAGTCGACGGTACGCGTGGAGGCATGTTGACTGATTAGTGTAGCTAGCTTTGTTGTTGCTATGTTCAGTTTATAGCCCAACACAACTGGCAGTCGCCCAATTATGAGCGCACAGTCTATAGACAATCTCGATCTTGGCAGCTCTAAATAGCGCTCTCTTGGGCGATAGACTCGAGCAACTTTAGTGGTGTCTCGCTTTCATGACTTTGATTTATTCCATAGTATATAAACATAAGGTACGTAAAATGTATTATGCTCGATTTTGAAGACAAAATCTGAAGAGAAATACACATGGAAGCCAGGAAAGTGCCGAAACAGTGCAATTGAAATGACTCACCGAAATGCGCGGCAGCATTTAGCAAGTTTATTAAACTACCATAGATACAACCTTTGACCTGTTTTGACAGCGCCATATTGAAATTCGTGCCATGCCTGTTTCTTGTCGTCTGCATCTGAATCAGGATTTGAATCACTAGGCCTAAAATTACATGTAAATACTACAAGTTCATGAACTTGGCTCAGCAGTGGAGTAAGTTGATTTTTTTTGTTGGAAAGGTTACTTTTGAGATGCCACTTTGTTAGTTATGTGTACAAATTGTTCGAATTAATTTGACATAAAAATGTGGTCAGAGCCCGAGCGCTGACCGGTTGAACAGCTACAGCGCAACTCGGCATGCTCAGCCAGTGGTCACCGCTGGTGCTTGGGGCCATGGGGGATTTCCTTCCTCCATAGCCAGTTTGGCACTGGCCGTGCAGTCATGGCAGTGGCAGCAGTGGTGAATGGAAGCATACCTCCATGATGGAAGTAATGTCAGTGAGAATTTCCTTTTTAGCCTAGGCCTGTTGAGCGCAATCTTCAAAAGTGCAAATGTAAAATTTGTCATGTTTGTGCAACTTGAACTTGTCTTGGACAGTTTTCATGGTTTCCTTGTGCAATTCTTCTTTGGTTGTAACATTACTTGTCATGAAGTTGAAACGTTAGCCTACAAATGTATTTTTTGCAGACAGGGAGTGCTTGCTTTTCACTTCACCCAGTGCAAATGTACATGCAGGGTGCTGGGATGGGGGCGAAGGGCAAATGCATTTCATTTTCACAAATTTTTGTGAAGGAAATGTGTCACAACTGATGCACAAAGCATCGTGGGTTATTTGCTGTCTTTATCAACACATACTGTACATGCGCACATGGACATGGTCACCCTTGACCTTGTTATCATTCATATGAGCTCTGTCCAGTGAGTGGTCGATAAAACTTATGCCATTTGCCCTTCCCAGCACCCTGTGTGTGCTGGGTACAGAGCAAAGGTTGAGTGCCAACTTTAAAAGCACATAATTTTTGCATCATGCTGCTATTTTTTTTATTTTTAGTGAGCTGTGGTGAGCATTTTGATGGAGGGGTTTGGATGTTGGGATAAGGCCACTGCTTTTGTCTGGCAACTCGCAGTAGGCCTACGTTTGAGCAGTATGTGATACCTTTCTTCATTTGACCAATTTTATGATCTGCAAAAGTGCAAAATGTCCATAAATTAAACCCACAAAATGTGTAAGCTTTGAAATTAACATTTTCTAGTACCATCATAATAAAATAAACATGTTTTATTGATACACAAAGTTTCATTTTTCATCCCTGTGATACTTTTTAAAACCTTTACCTGTGAAAGTGTCCCATACGTAATTAATATAAAATTTAAAATTATGTCACTTTGTGCTTTGCCAGGCTCTAAAAGTGCAGTGGTGCACTTTTGCTGAAGTTCCCTTTCTGAATTTGTTCTTCCTACTGAAAATAAAGCCCATGCATCTAATTGACAGTATGCTTCTTTTTCTGACTTGTGTCTCTAGTAGATTTCTGTGAAAGGGAAGTGAGCCCGTTGTTCTTATGAAATGTATATGAATTTATACACTAGGTCAAGAAACCAAGCTGACATTTGTCAGGTTGGGAATTGTTTAAGTCGCCAAAAAACAGTGCGTATCCAGTGTTTTAGAGGTATTCAATGAATTAATTTTTTTAAGGAAAGAAGAGTGCTTCACACTGATGCATGTATGATGAAAGCCTTGCGTAAACAGGGACTGGTAACAGAGATGCTGCTACTTTATTCTAGGATTAGACACAAATTTGCATAAAAAAGCAAATGACCATTAGTGTTACTGTTTGACTTAGCCGCAGAACTGGTGTTCAGTAGTGTGAGGCAATGTACAGTATTGTTTGCATAACCACATAAAAGCTGATTCTCTTGGTGGCTGTCAGTGGACAGGTTGGTAAACATTTGTTTTCTCCTTCTGGCATCTCAGTTTGTCTTTAAATTGAGCTCTATTATCTGAGAGGTGTCTTATGATTGGCTGGAGATTCTGTTTCAACACTTGCATGTTGGGCGAAAGTTGGCCAAGCATTGGGCATGCCTTCTGGTATGTGTACCAATATTCATTGCACAAGGAAGAGGTAAATGTTTGTAGCTAGGTATCCTATTTGTATGGAAAACAAAACTTTGTCACATGATTCTGTGTTGTGGTGTGTAAGTTGATGATGACATTTTTTTGTCGAAACTTAATCTAGAGGAGGAAGTCACTGTCTGAATTCCTTGAAAACTGTTCTTGAAATTTATTTGATACATGTACATGTATTATGCATGCATAAGCATTTGTTCCTTGGCTGTCACAATGAAAAATTGACTAGTCCCTGCTCAAAAAGGCACAGCTTGTAGTTACTGGTCTTCATGTGAAAAGGTGTCTGTTGAGCTGACTTTGCTTTTGAAAGAGATTGAGATGCAAAAAACAAGGCCATGGCTGTAATTCTGAGGTCATCACAACTCGCCATGGGAATGGAAGCACTGGCACTTCTTGTTTCATTCTTAGAAAAAGATGATTTAAGAGGAGATAACCCAGAGGTGAGTTTAGTATTCTCCTGATAGTAAGACTCTATGTGCAGCATCCATACAGTGAGATTATGTTGTTAATGCTTTAACCTGTATTTAAGTGTACATCAGAATCTTCAAAGGAAGAACTCTTCAAGAAGGAAAGAAAGAATGTGTAATTTGGTAAGATTGGCCTACATGTACATGGACATTGAAATGTGTACCTGAAAGAGAAAGGTGTGATGTAATTTGCCTGCTAACTGACTGTCCAATAACAACACACAGTTCTAATTGTTCAGCGGAAACCAAGGGTAAACTTTAAGCAATTGTATCTCCTGAAAGCGAGGGGATGTTTGTACCACCCAAACAGCTTGATGTAGACTGCCACTGGTTGTAATGACAGGATATGAAAGCTTGTTCCTTTAGAATAATACAGTGGGCTTAGAAACCTGTTACCTGTAGCTAGAAGGAGATTTGTCACTGACTGATAAAAACTACCTACACTAGCTCATGCCCATTGGGTAGCAAGCCGCTCAAGTGAGGTAGGAGATAAAAAGCTTTTCAGTTGAGGTAATCATGTTTTGTTGTTGGACTGGCCTTATCCAGTCTCTTTCCAACAAGACAAAGAGGGGGTGGTTTAGTAAATGTACCTGTTGCATCTTGTCATTTTGTTTTGAGGGCGTAGACTCACTCATCTACCGGGGACTTTAGTTGCCTTTGATGAAGTCTTGTTTTGAAAAAGAATCCTTGATGAATGATGATCATTGTAGGACTCCTGTCCCCAGTACTGCTGTCTTTGGAGGTAGAGCAAGTCAACCGTAAAATTTGGAGTATTTTGGCCTGACCATAGAGCTTGGATTCAGAATTTGACACCATATAGCCTTGCAGCATTTGCCAGTGTTTTTTGCTGTACTTTACTGAGGTTGGCAGGATCAATGCACTGGTTGTATGTAACAAAATCTCTTGGTGGAATGTTGTACCAGGGTTGTACCAATGAGTAGAGCCATGTTGGATGTTACACAGCACTCTTCTCATCAGCCAGGCTTTGTTATTTCCTGTGAGGAATGTCTGCGTCACGTAATAATTGCAGTCATGTTGCATTGAACTGGAATAGTCATTCTTCAGTTTATCCATTGGATCAAACTTTTGAAATGTAATGACTGATCACTCATTCACGGTTGATCTTCTCTCTTCATCTGTTCCGGTAAGTGTGGTAAATGCCGAGTGATGGAGGATTAACAGTTAATGAGTTATGCAATAATGTATGTAATAACAGTTGTTGTCTTCTCTGGCTTGCATTACTGAATATATACTCAAGCTCTGTACCTGGAAAGTTTTGCATTTGAGATTTTCTCACTGTACAACAACCCACACGTACTATTCATATTGGGTATCAGATTATAAAAAGTGAACTTGGTTGTCTTTTATATTGGTTTGTAAACTCAGAGCTGATGTCTATACATGTTTCGGTAAAGCAAAGCAATCCTGATGAAGAAATCAGGATGGAAACAAGAATGCATGTAATATAGTGTACATGTACACTGAGTCTTGTCGGAATTTTACCTTGTGCCTCTTTTTTTTTTTATTGACAGAATACATCCTAAAAAAGAATCATTTAAGTTTTGCTCTTTGTAGTGTTTACTAAAAATCTGTAGTTAATGTTGAATTAAGCATTGTGTTCCCTTTAATCGATTTTTACATGAAAATTGTTTCAATTAAAGAAAAATTACTACATGTACTTATTTCATTTTTTGAAGCAAAAAATGCTACCCAAATCAAAGGTAAGGATTTTCATAATGAAGTAAATGTTGCTTTGTCCATATGGCTCACATACCTACCACAGAGTTTAGATCAAGGTTTTTAAATTGAAGGGAAATAAGTCATTTTAAATAAACATGAATATTTGAAGTGCAAAACCGTTTAAAGCATGTATGCCTTGTTAAGTTCAGCTTTCTGATACTTCAACAATAGATGGCGCTATTCACTCTGCATAATACTCAATTGTGTGACTCCCTTCCTAGTTACTGTTGCTAAGCACAAACATAGTGCTTAGGGAATGGGAGAGTGTTTACTTTCTTGATAGAAGGTGCTCATTTGCATGTCAAAATCTGTGGACTGAAGTGTGGTATCAATTGTAGAGATCAAGCCTTTCACTTGGGGGGGATTCCCTAAAATAAATTATTTTCAGAGATTAGAAATTTTTGTCAGTTTTAGAAGACCTCCAACTTCTGTAGCCTGTGGTGACTCCAAGCATATGATTTCTTTATGTGCATGCAACACTGCACTCATTGTGTTCAGTTTGCAAAGAATGGTCTGAATGCAGCAGCAGGTGGGGAAGATCGATCTCTCGCTTGAATGATTAATTGATTGAATTCACAGACTGATTGAACAGCACCACAACGAGTGTGTACAGTTGGATGTATTGTGCTACATGTATGCATACTTTCGCCAATCCTACACGTACAGTACGTGTAGCTTCATGTGTGCCAGAAATTGAATGTTCTTGTAGTAAGTTGTAGTAAGAGAGAGCACCGAGCACTGCTTCTATAAATGCCTAAAGTAGAGGAACATATTTGTGGTGTTTGTATGTCAACATTTGACAGTGGAATTTGATCCTTGGGATTGTCAGCAGCTTCAAGATTTCTACAGAATGAGTTGGTGCTGTTGGACTACCGGTAGCTTGTGACACCTGCTATTGCCAGATTATCAACAGACATATGGAACAGAGATAAAGCTCCACTAAAAGCACCTGTTTGATGATTTCCCATTTATTTGTGTCAACATATAATTTCCTTTGATCGTGCTGATACTGTCATGGTTGAAATTGGAGATTACATGCGCTTGGATCAAATTGAGGAGTTGGTCAATCTTGTCATCAACCATATCGATCCAGAGATACCGCATAGGCCAGCACAGGTATAGGCATATAGATGGTTTATTGTCCATTACTTTAATAGATCTGATGCGTTTGATATCACATTCTGTTAATCTTGTCACACACATCAATTCAACACAGGTACATGTAGGGCTGCAAATGGTCTTTACTGAAGCTATAGACCAATTCGCTAACCCCGTTACTTGTGGAGTTCATGTTATTCAGGTGCACATTCCTAAACTTGACACATGCGTTATTTTAGTTAGCAGTGTGCACCCGTTGGCTAAGGAAGCATTTCAATGCGCATCTCTTTTGTTCACACGCATGGGGACACCGCAGTAATGGCTCCTGATTCTTGTCAGTGAATCGGTCTGTACATGTACATGTAGATCTGTTGGACCAAGATTTTATTCAACATTTCCCCACAGTCATAACTTTGTGATCTGCCTAGACTGCTGTCTTTGATAAAATTTGCCATTTTGTGGCTATGACTTCAGTTTAGCCGTAGCCTTAAATTTCTGAGGCAAAAAATAGCGGTAGTAAGAGACTTGCCCATTTTTAAACACAACTTTACATCCAAGATGGTGGAACCTCGAGTCAAAGTGGTTCATGGGATATGTGTGATGACTGCATATATTAACAATCTGTAGATCAGACGAAGCCAACTTGTAAGGATTTCTTTCATCTTGGCTGCAGTCTAGAGGTATACATGTACCACGTGCAGCAGAATATAAGAACAGTTGTTCAGATCTTGAAAATCATGTTGTCATGACTGTGTGGATAACTTGAGAGATAAGCTGGACACATTACCTCATATGTGCACTGATATGAATGTACATTATCATTTACATGTACATGTACACATGCAACTTTGTCTTTATGTGAAAGAATATGCCTAAGCTTAGGAAGAGGGGATTTTGATATCCCCCAAAGCAACGTGTCTTTGTAGCTGGACTGTCATATTTCCAGTGGAAGCATGGTTATTTTGAACCTCATTTCCTCTAACATTCTAGGACCGGGTGAAGATGAACCAGTTACAGAATCTCCTCCATAGTGCCCTGATTGCCACAGGACATGTGGAGAACAGTGCCATCATCAGACGGAGAGACGTCTCACTACGAGCCAGCTCAGCTGGGTTCACGGTAGGTGGATTGAGGCCACAGTATATGATTCTTGTTTTTGGGGAAAGGGCTACATGCAAGTGAAGATAAGTTTTCCTCTATCCTCATATTTCTTTGCAAGGAGTCTTGCGAGTATGCTCGTGTAAGAGTTCTTGTTCACTGTATCTTCTTTTAGTTGAGCACTGATCAAATTCAGCGTTTCATCGATGCCTTCAAGGACCCATCAGCTACCAGAGAGAAGGGCTTGTACTTCAATGATCGTATCTATCAGTGTGTTCGAGCAGACAAGAGCTCCATCTATGCCAAATCGGTCAGTTTTATTGTAATTGGGCCTCACTTTATTCAACAGTTCCACCCCTTCCCTTAGCTAAGGCCGTCCCTGAAACGGGCTTCCAAAGCTAAGGCTAGGTCTGATGTCTTGGTGTCTCAACGTATTTCCTATGGAGCAAAGTCTTAGACCTAGCTCTAGACAACAGATTCGGACGCAGCCTAAGTTTTTGTCAACTGAAAACACAAAAAAGACATTCCAGGGTTGTGATGTCATTCACATTACATTGCCTGTGCCACACGTAGTACTGTTGTGTTGCGCATACTGATATTATATCAATCTGGAATACGGCCGATTCACAATAGTGCACCTCCAAGAGTTTGCAATGCGTTGGCCAATCACAACGTGCAAAATTTGTTGACTCAGTGTGCGTTTGGAAAGGGTCGACAGATTTTGCACGTTGTGATTGGCCAATGTGTTGCAAACTCTTGGAGGCACACTGTTATGAATCGCCCATATTGTTCATAAAAGACTACTCGGTTACATAGGTAGTTTGCAGTCTACCATCCACATTCATCCACACATCCAGCCATTTTTTTGAAAAGTTGACCAACTTGTGTGATGTTAAATGACAAATTTAACACATTTCATTCACTGTTGTTTGTTTCAGGACAAGATTGGTATTGTTCTTGTCAGGACAGCTACCCTCATCATTATTGGTACATACAATGATAACATGTTCCCAAGTGTTTGTGTGGAGGCCGTGGAAAAACTAGGTAACTTGGATCTGTGGTTCTTCTCTTTCTTTCTGTCATCAAAGTTAAAAGTTATAGTTTTAGACAAAGATTTTGTACATTTGCCAAAATGATGAGATGTCCTGTCAGTGGAGGGTGTGCTTGGGTAAACTGTAATTGATCAACCAATTACAATCAGCCATTTGTGAGTTCAGTTTAATAAAATCTGGTACATTGTGTTGTATGATTGTACATAAACGTAATAATTTGAATTCCCCACACTAACGACACTGTTGCTATACCCCGTGATTCGGGGCAACTTTTGCATAGAGACCACCATCTCTGGAATGGATTGGTTCCTTTGTGCTGTTCTAATCCATGGAGAACAGTGTCTTGTTGTAAGGCGTCTCTTACGTAACTAAGCAAAGCTTTCTACGAATCACGAGGTATAGCTACAGCGTTTTCAGTCTGTAGAATTCAAATTATGTTCACATGAATTTAAAGAACTCAATGTACCAGATTTTATTTAAATTTAACTCGTGAAAAGCTTATTTGGCCATTTTGAGTCTTAAGGAGTGCCAGAATAAAGAAAAGAATCTGCAACCCTGAATAATGATGATTATTTATATCTGAAGTTCCAGAGAGCATTGTTCAGCTGTAATTACAGATAATGATCTAATCTATGGTTTTTATCTAGGCCTGGGGCTTTTGACACAAGTCATCATTTACAGTAGTACCAACTGTGTTATTTTAATTTGCACAGCATCTTACTTCAAAGAGAAAGACAAGTGATTCCCAACACCAAGGACAGCAGATGGATTACCAACATGACCAATCCCTGTGTACTGCAAGGTGCTGATGTCAAAAGGAAGCCAGGCGTGAAAAGTCTGGTGATGCTCTCTCATCAGTCATCCCAAGAGGAGAGGTTCATTATAACTTGGGAGTGTTTAACAGTGAGGAGAACCTGAAGCAGATGGAGGATTCTAGAGAAGATGCCACAGTCTTCTGATCAGCATTGAGCTTTAGCATGAATGGCTGGTATATCAGGCATGAGGTACATTGATTGCATGAGTGCATCTTCTTAAATGCCATACCACAGCGTATAGGTTCTGGCCATCATAAATAATAATAATAAAATGGATTTGGCAAACGCCCTCCGTTAAATTAACCTCAGGGCGATTTACATTGATTATCCAACAAGACAGAGATACATGAACATTTAAAATGAGCGATACATCAAATTAAACATGAGTAGTTACATGTATTAGTATACCGCATAAGAGGTATTCCACTCAGGGGAAAGTCTATTTGAGGGAAGGAGGCCAGGCATGGAGGATCCCGCAGACACACGACACCCTGTTTAAAAGATGCCACAAGGCCGGCTGTTTCCGAGCAGCTTAAGGGCCTGTGCCCTGTTAGTATCCTCACAGGTCCGCTAACCACTGGGTGATGAGGGGATGGTGGTGCTGAGTGTCTGGTCAATCACCCATCAATGTGTGTAGGAAAGTTAGAACAACACGTACTTGCACCTTATGCTTTTAGCGGTGGGTTCAATTACTTTCTGAGTTGAGTTGGGTTTTTATCTCATCCCCACCGTCTTACTTGTTAGACACAACACACAAGGCCAAAACTGGTGATAAACCCTCCGTACTGATTTCAACTTTCACTCTGTGGAGAATATTGGGAGATGCTACTTGGCATGAGTTATTGGTTGATCTGAGTCAATGGGATTGACCTTAATAACAACTCACTTTGTCACTTTGTCTTTGTTTGTGTGTTAGTGAAGTCTCAAAACAGGCCAATTGAAAGCAGCCAAGAAACCACTGTTTCTCTGTTAAAATACCGTATATCAAGGCTGCTAAATTCAACTTAGTCAAGTGCACTAACTTCAACAGACTTGTGCCTCACGCTAGACCAAGATAGCAGAAGATCATTGAGTTAATGTGAGCACTGATTAGGATTATGTCATTTGATTCAGTGACTGGAGTAGGAGACTACTAGTTTGACCCCAACTGCAAAGGGTCAGTATGCCAATTGCTATGGCAGTGCATACACAGTGTGCATGTATATGTGTGTGTGTACATGTATGTGTGTGTGCTCCCTGTACTTGTACTTCTGTTCTCAATGGAGATATATGAATAGCAGGTGCACATTACCATGATTATGTAGATGTTCTGTGGTTGCGATAGGCAAACAAACAAATAACAGCCCAGCATGGCTCAAAGTTAGTTCTGTAGATGACCAAATAAGGCAGTCCTGGGTCGCCATTGATAAGATATGGACATGCTTGTGTCAAATTCCAAGTGACCTACTCCCAAATTTTGCAAGGAAATCTTCACACTAAAGTTTGCGTATTGGATTGAAAGTTTGTTTAGTGGATTGGTTGATTGTACCACTTGGCTGTTCTCACTGCCGATGAACTTTGTACCACTGCTGTAAAAACTAGAACACTCTTGACACTTGACACGAAGGTATTTTGTTTGGCCCTGATCATGCCAGTCATAAGTAAATACAGAAACGGTAGTGGTTGAATGGTTTCATATACTCACCTGTCTAAGGGAGCAAACAATGAGATATTGAATGTGGTCTTGAGATCCCTTGACACCATTGTTGGTTTAACAGTTTCACATTCACACATTACAGGTACATGTATGTTCAATTGGAGCTCCTCGGAAACTGACAGGTGTTATAGGGAAGTGTGTACACTATTTGATGTTTGGAACTGGGAAAACTGTCCTGTACAGTCACAGTATACAGATGATGTTAATAAATAGAACTCTTGCATGCAATATATTTATTCAGCAGTATCATTTGAACACAGGGTGATGGATGTTGCATTGGTCAATGCTTAGTTAATGCAGCAGCAGGATGATACGGGTGTAAACGCAGGTAATATCAAGAACAGTTACAATTCATAAGTTAAACAATCTGTACAGAGTACACCACTCAAATTAATTCCATTGTATTTCATGATTTTCCTTTATTGTTTAAGCAGGAATTTCTAATCAACTTAGATCATGCCAATCAGTATACATGATAACCATTAGTTCACAAATATTGTATCCTAGTAAACCTGCTATTGATCTGTTTTTATTGTTTGTATTTTTACTTGGTCAATTGTTTGGTTGGCAAAAATTTACAGTGCATACCTTTAAAGAAGAAAGAATGTACATGTACTTACCTTCCCAGTCGCCCAAATTTGGGGCCATGAACTAACTACGTGTGGTATTTATGTCAATGATGCTGCAGTGAAATTCTATCACTTCTTGTCATGTTATCCCTCAGGTAACATAACCTGTAAATATCTTGAAATGCCAGCTTGCTGTTCAATCTGAGCCAGTCTTGACGGTTAAGAATTCTTTGCCTTGTAACTAATGATTTTAACATATTGTCAGGATTTGGACTGGGGTGTTGAGTGAAGCAGCTACCAGTGAATACATTAATTAAAGATGGACTTGTGAGAACTTTATCTTTAGATCGGCATTGGGTGAATAAACTTGCGATGATTTTTGTCTCGTTAAAAATCATAATATTCATAATTTGGTATATGTGTGTGACAAAAGAGAAATGGTGATGGTATTTTCAGAAATCAGCGGCTCAAAATGCTTTGTGGTGGGAATTTTATTTGAGAACATATTTTGTGCATCTTTATACGTCTTTTAAATATAAGAAAACTATCTGACATCTGTTTTGGTTACTGTCAAAGAATAAAATCATTTTTTGTTAACATGCGAAACATGAAAAACAACACCGGATCATTGAAATAAAGAAAATTTACAACAGCACTAATATCCATTCTTTTAGCGGCAAATTTTAGCCTGAAAATAGCTGTAACATTGAAGTTTCTGCCTTGAATGGCGTACACAAAAGGGAACGCTCTAGAAAATGGGTATGACTACAGAACCCGGGTAAAGGTGTATCATATTGGGACAAGGTCAATTCTGGTCTGACGCTATATAATCCCTTCCACAATGCTTGTCATTTCCGAACACTTTGAATCTCTTTCTCAATTTGGGTCTTCAATAATTGAGTGGCAGTCCTTGATCAAATTCCGCTGTAAGAGAGTATCCACTCCACCCTCTGGTGATCAAAGTTCATCCCCATGTGCAAATATTTGTTCGTCAGATATGTTCGACCAGTGCACATGTAGTTTTCCCGGGAGTTTTTATAACACTTGTAAATAAGTCATTAGTATGCAAAATGTCAAAATAAGTTATATGCCAAAACTTATCTGCCCAAGGTAAATTGAAGTTTCACAGGTAAAGAATTATTTCCGTTCTGTCTTGTTATCGCATAAGTATCTTGGGGGAGGAAGGAACAGGTTCAACCGGCAAAACTGATATAGTCAAAGGCTTTTATGTTCACATTAAAATATTATCCAAAGCCGTAGTGTCAAATGTAATCATTTTTCTTAACGCTATTTCACGATAAATGGGCCAGTCACACACACATTTCCCCCGTTCAAGAAAATGAAAAAAATGACAGTTTTGCTGCAAGTCCACTAATTCTGAGAGTTTTAAGCAAGACCTTTTTTAATTCCATTCCTGCCCAATATTCCAAATATGTTTTCCTGTACTAAGTTCAACATTTCACTCGAGTTTGAACAGGGATTTAGTTTTGTGGCAATTGTATAACAAACTTACAAAAGTTTACCTGAGCCATATTAACCCAAACCCCCTGGGGTGTATGTAAAATCGTATTAAAATTGAAGGATTTGGGAGTGTTAGGGTTAAACAGAAGGACAAGTAGCCGAAGGATTGGAACAGGATTTCCATTCCCTGACGTAACTGGGGTACATTTGGCAAGGGGCCTCCGTCAGGGGCTCATTTTTCTGGATGTGGCATTTACTGGGTTCGGTCACTGTTGAAACACTGACGAAGTCGAAGTATCACGAGATCTTTTTCCTTCTTTAATTTTTGAGTAGAAAAGGGGCACACGGGGACACAGGCCACGAGGAGAGAGGGCGTGCTCTCATTCCACCCCCCAACATACCCCACCCTTATTGCGCAAGTGCTTCCATTCTCAAGACTTCACCGTTATCGTCTCGATATCCACACTGAGCAAAGGGGACCAGCGAGTCCAGAGACTGGCGCGCATTTTGATGCCCAATGCTGATAAAATAATGGTACATAAAGGTAAAGCAACCGTCTGATTTGCATAAGAAAGCACTTCTGAAAGCCATTCTAATAGCCACATCCTGCGTTCACCTGGGGTTCTGTCTTGCGTGCGTGCCAGTGTGCAGCTAGCTCAACACGTGGGTGTGAAACGCATTCGTTTTCTCGCGGGCAGGGATGACGAAGGACAGTTTAACACCGTCCAGGGTTGCAAAATGTTTTGAGGAAACTTGGCAGTTTATCCCCAGAGGTCTTCGCCATAATCCAGTGACAGTGTCGTGAATGTTTTCTTCAGGATTTCAGAAGAATATTGGGGCCGAAAGTTTCGAGGAGTGTTCTCTGAACGTAAGGTAGGTGTGGTTCATGATTGTACAAAGACTGTGCGGAGGCAAATTGTGCTTTCGGTGTTAACCGTACACGAGGGCCAAGGGCAGACCCAGAACCACTTTTTAGACCCCCTGGAAGGGGCAAGGTAACATTTCATTGTGTGTGATTTCCACATATTGCAGATGCAGCCCCTTTTAAAATTTTCATGGAGAATTTTTTGGGGGAGAAAAGGAAATGAACATTTCAAAACTCTGTAATGAAGGTTGATCTGTCCCTTGGATGCAAGCAATACTCGTAGCAATTTGCGTTTGAGACTTCACGGTCTTGACCAGTTTTTGTTCGTCTTGGTTCCCTGAATTGGTGGCAAACCCATGATTCCGGCCCAGACGGGAATTTACCCCTAAAATAGCTGATAATGTTCAAGGCCCCCCCTAAAGCTCCCCCACCAGGTTGCAGCACACAGGGGACTGGGATTTTAAGGCTAGCAGTTTCAGAGCTAGCAGTTGAAGAACGAGGTGTGGAAAGATTTTACTTTCATACCCCAACCAAAATCGGTTTAGAAGAGCAAAATCTTCAAAAATAACTATTCAGTTGTTCAGAATTACATATATGCGTGGTACAACCTCCATTATACGGAGGACCTTCCTCAGAAAATCTTTGTGCAGTACACAGAAAGAAGTTCTGTTTTGTGTTAGATGTTCTTGGCATATGTACAGTATGGTGACCCAAGTGTTCAAAAGTAGGCCTGTTGCCCAATTAGTCACCGGACTGAAGCCAGGTATTTAGATATAATGCTGAACACAACTGGATAGTTTTCAAAGACTTTGGGGTTCCTGACCAATTCTGGTGGACGTTTTTAAATAAAATCTTTCTGTAGGGGTGTGTTATGTCTGTTTTCAAAAAGCAAAAGACAACCACTACCCAGGGTGATGGACTTGGACTTTTTGAAGTCTCAACATTTTGTTGGTGATGATCAACTCCAGCATTTTACAGCACATACAGAAGAATGTATGTTACTAATGCTCAGGGCAACAAGAACTATGTGTGAACAATCAAAGAAAATCCTTCATGTTGAAACAAGTTTCAAAGCAAATCCACATAATTCCTCACTCTAGGGAGTGTGTTATTTGTACCTTCTAAACAACTGCATGTAGTTTAAAGTTCCCATAAGCCTTCAGTATTTAGGGTAATGTTCAGTTAGCTTGCTTTTCATTGGTTGGTGTTATAATTGCAGTGTGTCCATTTTCATTTTGTTTCAGGGGACTGTTGGATGTAATGCCAGGCGGCTGAAATATGGGCGACCTTTGTAGAGACCAGGGGTACAAGATAGCATGTTCACTAAGGTGAGGTAACCATTTGTTGCAGCTGTGAACATGCACAAGACCCCTGGAACGAGAGTCATCAGGGCTGATGGAGGAGAAACATCTTTGGTGTGTTGTTCAAAAGTGCCACTAACGTCTCAAGTAGAGGCCAGGGGTACAAGATAGCATGTTCAGTAAGGTGAGGTAACCATTTGTTGCAGCTATGAACATGCACAAGACCCCTGGAATGCAAGATGTAGCACTGTTCAAGTGGAGTCGTTTCCTGGATTGTTCAGAGTGAGTCAACCAAGCTTTTTATTTTCTTATTCGGCAAGCAAACTTGAATTTTACATGCTTAAGTTATCATTATCTCAGTGATTGTT